GTTTTCTGGCGCGATCGCCGACGTTCAGTGCAACCATCGGCGGTGTGGAGAAAGTGGGGATGTTCGCAACCATCGGCGACGTCTGGCCACAGTACGGCGGCGGGCGCACAATAAAGGACGAGATGCCCGAAGAGCGTGCTGCCCGACTGGAGCGCGCGTGCGTCTCGATGGCTGCCCGACGTGCCGCGCCCCAGACGCCCGAAGAGCGTGCTGCCCGACTGGAGCGCGCGCGCGTCTCGAAGGCCGAGAAGCGACGCGTCAGCGTCGATACTGAGGATGCCATGCTGGCGTCTCTGGCCGAGACCGCTCTCGCTGAGCAGGACCCTAGTGAGGAGACCGTCAGGTTCCTGGCGAAGTCGCAAAATTTCGCAAAGGATCCGCGTCTGGCGCTGCTGTATTTCCACCTGTGCACAAACCATCCCGACGCCTTTGTTTTCAATGATGAGAGCCTGCATGGGCCTAACGGACCCGCGGTCTGCGAGCGGATCCTGCGAGCCATTGGCGGCGCGGTAGGCCACGACGACGCTGTGCACTGTCAGCGCAGTGCGGCTGCCCGTGACCCCGGCACGGGGCGCATCGCGGCGTGCGCGTCATGCAATGAGTTTCTCTTTGAGGCCAATAAGACCATCGTCGACGCCGGCCCCGTCGAACAGCTTCCCAATGTGTTCCGCCTCACCAATGAGCAAGTCGCCGAGCAGTGCACCCTGCTAGAGCATCTCGTTGAACGGGACGTCTCCGTGCTGCGCGTGAACGACGTCCGGTACCATCTCAATCCGGATCTCGTGCCCGACATCAACAACGTCGTCCTGTGCTCGACCTGTGCGAAAAATCCGGCCGATCACGACTCCAGCCTCTACAACGGGCACGACTGTGGTCGGCGGGGGTCATTGCCCAAAGTGAACAGCACGACGCTCAACGCGATTTTACCCGCCCGAGCCTTCAATATTGACATCTTGATAAGGGCCAGCCACTCAACGGGGAACGCCATTTGTTTCATGCAAGACGGTCCTGTCGAGGTGGCCAACGTGCTGCCCCGGGTTTCCCCGGTGCAACGCCCGCAGGTGACCTTTCTCGGGCCGCGCGACGCCTGGCGGAAGGCGCAGGCTCGTCTCCGCGACATGTACAACATCGACATCACCGGAGCGTACCAGTGGCTCGAGTTCTGGACCGGGGTCAAACATCCGCGATTCGACGGCATTACCATTGACAATTCCTCCGAAATGCGCCGACGCCTGGACGAGGAGGGTGCCGCCATCGAGAACGATGCCATCTGCAATGACGATGTTGACGTCGCTGCAATGAATGCGCACGTGGACGATGACGACGTCAACAACGACGTGCCAGAGTCGCCGGCCAGCAACGCGGGCTGTGACCTTGTTCACGCGGCGGTCTTGCCCAAACAATCTCTCCTCAGTGGCGGCGTCAACCTGGCACTGCAGGCGCTGAACTACATCATTCACCCCGACGACAAGAATGCCGGAGATCATGTTCCCCCTCCTATCACGGTGGTTTCACGCGGCGAAGACCCAATCGTCGAGTGGGACGAGAACAACGTTCTCATGTCGGCGGTTTTCGCGTCTTTGTTCCTTCTGGGCAAGGGATTGTCCAAGGGCACGTTGCGGCCAAATATACATTCGACGAAATGGCGAATGGACATTGGCAAAAACGGCATGTGGCAACCACGCGTGGGACCACAGGCTCGCAAGCCACTCGTTCCACGCGGGAAACGGTCGCGGCCGGAGGAGCCAGCTCCGACGCCGCAAGAGTCTGCTGTGGCGGTGAAGCGGCGACCAAGCCCACCTCCGCTCGGCGTCACTCCACATTGTCCGCCCCCTGTCTCGGTCGAACACGTTGTCTTCGTTCCGGGGTACGGAAGGCTGTTCCCGAACGACTTCCGCTGCTTACAACCTGGCCAGTGGTTGAACGACAACATCATCAACCTGTTCGGGCAGTTCTACTGCCTGCCATGAGCGGCATATGTCCACCTGTTTAACACGTTCCTGTACACAAAGTTCTTGGCGGGCCATCTCGACGACTTGAATTGCGTCTTCGATGGCGTGTCTTCCAGGCCGGTGTGGATCATACCGATCCACGACCAGTCGCACTGGCAGATCTTGGTCATCGTCAACGCCACGTGCCCACCAAGGTCGACTGCCATGCTGTTAGACTCAATGGCTGCGTGCGGGCAGTCGCGCAACGCCAAAAACATCGCGGCCTTTGCCAGCATGGTGGTGGACCGGGTCGTGCGCGCCGAATCGGTGAGCACGCCGGTGGCGATCACCACCGTGGCAATCACCACGGTGCTTGTGCCGCAGCAATCGAATGGCTACGACTGCGGCGTCTACGCCCTGCTCAACATCATGCACCTGGTGCGCCATTACGACAACATTGTGGCCGTTCAAGGACCAGGTCAGGTGGATTGGCGCGCGTGGTACACGCAGGAGGCGGCGTCACAGCACAGGCGCGACCTGCTGCACCAGCTGCATGAACTTAAAGACCTACAGCAATAAATCAACAATCATCATCTGATGCAATAGTAACAGCTACAACTTCCAACACGACTACGGTATCCAACACGGATCGCACGAATGCGCTGTCCAACCAAGTTTCTACCTGCTCACTCCGAAGGAACGTGTTTGGTGTGGGGATATAAGCCAGAACGCAACGCAGAGAAGGGAGTCCTGTACGAGTTGGCGTCGTGGATGGAGCTGCAGCAACGGTGCCCAGGGAGTCACAGAGCAAGGGATAGTAGAGTAAAGCGTGGAGAGACAGTGTGAGTAAAGCGTAGAGAGAGTGTCAGTAGAGTAAAGCATGGAGAGACAGTGGTAGCGAGAACGCAGTGAGCAACCAGAGTAGCCATGCATCGGAAGTATGCAGAGTAGGAGAAACCGTAGAGACGACAAGCGTAGCGATAGTGACGTAGAGAGACGCAGAGCGACGCAGAGCGGAGTGAGGGCACGGAGAGACGCGGAGCGGACCGAGGTCACGCTGAGACGCAGAGCGGTGGCGCGGCGAAGGTGGACTCTAAGAGAAAAATAAAGAGAGAGAAAAACAACCTTTTGTACGAGTCCTACACACGGTTCATTTTGTGCACCAGTAAAACATATACCTATGTTTTGAATTTGAAAAAATCATATTCTATTTTTCCAATTAAGAGGAGTTCGGTGAATGCGCATATGAAACTGGTGGGGTTCAGTACCTCCTACAAGGTTAAGAACCACTGCCCTAACACAAAGGGGTAGCTTGCCCCTTCCACCACGTACCCTAAGGAGGTAGTCCCTCCGGGCTAACTAGCCCTAACACAACTGGAAGAGGCTGTCAAGACTGGACCCCAACTTGGGTCCGGGTCTTGTCTTCGGGGCTTCTCTTCAGGGTGACGGCTTCAGGTCTTCAAGTTAACAACAGCAACCGTACCCCTTCAAAAGTCCGGCTTATATAGTCAGTCCCGGGGCTTCCTCTCGACCCGAGCCACGCCTCCCTTCTCGATCCTTCGAGAAGCACCTGGAACTGGTCCTGGGGTCCCCCAGCCCCCTCTTTTGGGGCCCCTCCCCCGGTACCTCCGGCCACTAGCCCTCTGGGTTCATCTGGAGTGCCATGGCCCCCTGTCACCCCTGCGCCGCTCCAGGTGCTCTCGCCCCCTATCCGGGGCTGACAGTGCACACGGAGTGCCATGCCCGACAGCTGCCGAAGCGGCGTGTCTCATACTTCACACACAGGCCGACTTCACATGACATGCAGTGGCATCCCCCAATGCCACTACACTACTTTAGAGTCAATAGATAATACTGCAGAGTTGGTAGACACTACTGTAGAGTCGGTAGATATTAATGTAGAGTCAGTAGTGTAGTCAGTCGTTACTACTATAGAGTCTCCTGTACACCAGGCGAGGTAGTTAACATCTGATATCCACACTGCCCATAGACTCCATGTAGCAGGGATCGAACCCAGGACCTCCTGTACACCAGGAGAGGTAGTTAACATCTCATAGCCACACTGCCCATAGACTCCACGTAGCAGGGATTGGACCCACGACCTCCTGTACGCCAGGAGAGGTAGTTAACATCTCATAGCCACACTGCCCATAGACTCCACGTAGCAGGGATTGGACCCACGACCTCCTGTACACCAGGAGAGGTAGTTAACATCTCATAGCCACACTGCCCATAGACTCCACGTAGCAGGGATCGAACCCAGGACCTCCTGTACACCAGGAGAGGTAGTTAACATCTCATAGCCACACTGCCCATAGACTCCACGTAGCAGGGATCGAACCCAGGACCTCCTGTACACCAGGAGAGGTAGTTAACATCTCATAGCCACACTGCCCGTAGACTCCACGTAGCAGGGATTGGACCCACGACCTCCTGTACACCAGGAGAGGTAGTTAACATCTGATATCCACACTGCCCATAGACTCCACGTAGCAGGGATCGAATCCAGGACCTCCTGTACACCAGGAGAGGGAGACTATTCTTATCTTCACATCGTCCGGAATAATGATGTCACCCATTGTTTTAATATGGGGTGGTGGAGTGGCGGGTGAGATGGGAAGACTCTTCATCTCTCCCCATCTTCTGGAAGATCTCCCCATCCTACGGAAGATAAGAAGATAGTAATAATTTTATTGTTTACTTTAATTATTTTATTATTTCCCTTCTACGTGACTTTACCGAATGAACCAAGAATATGAATCCCTGCAGTCACGAAAGCTTTAAATCGAAAGATAGGAATAGTTTTCCGATCTTCCTATCTTCCTTTCTTCCGGAAGACCTTTCCATCTTACGGAATATAGGAAGAGTCTTCCGGAAGATTGGGAAGATGGGAAGACTCTTCTATCTTCCGGAAGAATGACGTCACCCATTGTGTTTACATGGCGGGAGGGGGGGGGGTGCCCCGGCCCCCCGCCAAATAAAAAAACACCAAAATCTTCCGGAAAGAAGCCGTCGACCAATGAGGAAGGCGTCCCTGGGCTGTCGGTGACGTCACGCTGCGACAGAGCTGCCCCCCGGGGGGGGGGAGAGGCGGCGGCTCCCTCCATTGCCGCACAGCGCAGCAGCAGCAGGAGGACGCTGTGAGGAGGCAGCGAGAATTTTCCACAATCCGCCGCCATCCTCCTTGCAGGAGCGCTCGCATCGCCACCCGGCACCCACCCGGCAGACACCGTCGACGCGTTGTCACGGCGCATCCGATGGCGGCGCAGATGGGGCGGCTGGCGAGCGCCGTGCTGGGCATCCTCCTCACGGTACGAGGAGGCTGAGGGGAGGCTCCGTTAGATCCATGATGGCCGCCCGTTCTGTATTGGGCTCCTTGACATGTCATCGTCCGCGGGAGGGGGGCGGTTGCGACTGTTAATTCGCTTATCTCGGGATCGCTTCGCGATGCGGTGCGTGCATTCGAAGCCGTCTTTTTTCCCCTTTTGAATGTTTTTTTGTTCGCTTCCCCCGCCGCCTACGTTGCAATGAACAATAAAATGAAAATGTGTGAGCAAAATATTAACATTGCTATTGCCATTGTAGTAATTGTTGCGAATGGTTGGTTGGCCGTGCATTCGGCTCGACAGGGGTAAATGCCACCTTTGTTGCGGTGTTAATAATGAAATCCGCAAAGACAGAATTTAATTGCTATTATAAATGCGCATTAAAGTCACTTGATACGCGTATCGATATCAAGATAAATATTTCTGCAAAATCAGAACAAAATCGAATAACATCACCGTTAAAGATCACGTTGCATATGAAATGCGTTGTGTTAATGTGTCGCGATTTAAATCTTATCGCAAGATGCGAATTAATATTTGTATTTATCATTGATTTAAAATAACCCATTACTATATTAAATATAATAACACGTTAATAATATATCACGCGTTCTGTTTAACGTTACATGTTGATATAGCTTTGTATTCGATAAGCGAATCAATAATATATGAATGCATGCAATATATTTAACAATGTATCACTTAATACCTCATTGTTTCATATCACGCTATATATGAATATATCACAATATACGTATTCATCTATAAATATGTCGCCATAGGTATCTATATATCACTGGTAATATAGTACTAAAATATGACGGTATGTATTGATATATTATTCAGAAAGCTATCAATATATCCCAATAAGATGTATCAATGCATCGTTGTCAAGATATCGCCGTTAAATACATGAAGTTATATATTAATATATCATTGTTAATCTACCATACTTAATCGATATATGTATCACTATTGATGCATGTCAGTATGTATTGCTGTTAAAATAATGTGTGCATTTTTACGCATTAATACATTGCACTAAGTATAACATTACTTACCTTTGTTGATGTATCACTGCATACACATGGGTATCTATTGATACGTGTCGTATGCACCAATATGTATCAGCAATACGTATGCATCGATATCAATATTTATCGATGTCTATGAATACAAAGACCAAAGATCCCCCGTGTAGCCTGTAGCAGGCTGTCGGGGCAAGTGCTGTTAGTAGCACTGTGGCACACACAGGGTGTGGGGGGCCAGGACCACGCCCGGCCGCCTTTGTCTCCCCAGTGGCGATGTTTACTACGCCACTTCCGCTACACCAGCTACTAGACACACACCAACAACAACCGCCATTCGCCACTAAGTGGCGGTGACGTCACCACGACGCTTGTGCCAGGCCATGTGCACCTTGAGGCCACGTGAAGTGTCAATCGCTCGCTGGCAGGAGCTCACTGGGCAGACCCAGGTGCCACAGGCCGACTGACTGAGATGACTGGCTGATGCACCACCTGTGCCCCCTACTGTGCCAACTTGCTGTGCTTTAGCGACCTGGTGCTCCGCTCGTTGTTGTGAGCCCCGCTCCTCCGCCCTCCGTTGTTGCTGGAGGGCGACTGCCTCCAACTGCCCAGTAGCGTCCTTCACGAGCCTCCTCCACAGAGGCCGATCTTGACACCGCTGGTACCAGTCATCGGCAAGTCCACTCGGCTCCACGTCCTCCTGTACCACATCACTCCATCTCTTCTCTAGCCCGTGCCGCGCCCGTTTAGCCTCCTTGATCTGGTCGAACAATAGCTGTTTAGGCATGCGGTGGCTGAGCATGCGGGCTACATGACCCAGCCAACGCAGCCTTGCCTGCCGGAGGAACTCACCGATGGGATTTTGCCCAGATCTTTCAAGGATTTGTGAGCTCCTCACACAATCCAGCCTGGGTAAACCCAGGATGGATCATAGGCAGGCCAGCCTGGATGTTTCTAACCGGCAAAGATGTTCCATTAGAGAAGTCTATGTTTCACAAGCGTAGAGAAGGGAGGGCACGACTGTGCCCGAGAAGACCTGAAGCTTCGTGTGGAGCGACAGACCCGGTAGCTTCCACACAGCATTACACAGCCGATGAAAATATATTTCTGCTCGACTGATTCGGAGTGAGACCTCTGCTGTTAAACCGGAGCCGGTCATGAGCACACTGCCCAGGTATGGGAAACTCTCTACTCTCCACAACTGCCCCATCACCGATTGGGAGTTGTGGGGGTGGAGTGTCTAATGATACTAAGTACCCAGGCAGGTGCTTAGTTTTGGTGGGGCTGATGGAAAGACCCCACCTCTTAGTGGCAAGCTGCAGGTTCAGCAGCAGCGCCTCCAACGCCTCTTCTGAGTGAGCAGCAATTACCAGATCATCGGCATACATAACGTGGTTGAGCAATGGAGAGCCATCCCTCGACCGCACCCAGGCATCGATCAGCATCACATTGTATCTATACCAGATGAAAATTCCTCCGGTACAGCCATGGAAGACTTGATGAACTACGTGGTCAAAATAGATGTTAAATAACGTGGGAGCCAGACGATATCCTTGTCACACCCGAAGGTTAACAGGGAATGGCTCCTGACTCCTAGCTTTACTATTATTAAGGTTCTTAATGATTGTGAGCAGAGAGTCAGAGACTCAAAAAAGCACGAAGAACAATCCAGAGCCCAGGCCTACTGATGGTATCATAGGCCTTGACCAGGTCAATAAAGCAGAGCTGTAGGTCTTGTTGGGATTCCCTACACCTCTGCTGTAGCAGACGGACAAAAAAAATGGCATCTGTGTAGGGGACCGCCCTTTCCCGAAACCACATTGGGGCTCCGCAAGCTTCTCCTCAGCGTGCCTGGCAAGGCGATGTTGAATAATCCTTGCCAGGATCTTTCCCGGCCTCACACTGAGGACGGAGATGCCCCTGTAGTTGCCACAGTTTGTGCGGTTCCCCGTTCTTGAAGAGGGGACCATCAGGGAATCATTCCAATCCTGCCACCCACACACAGACAGACACGCAAGACAAAGACATGCACACAGATCTCTCCATCTCTCTTGCCAGGTGCAGGATTAGGATTCCACCGTCTAAGCTCCATGACCCCCCAGGCATCAGGGATTAGGGACACAGCGGAAATGATGGATTAAGTGTGTGAGTGAGTGGCTGTGAGAGTCTGACAGTGTTTGAGGGTGTGAGTGTCTGTGTGTGAGGGTGAGAGTGTGAGTCTGGCTCCCTGTGATGAGTCTACGGGTCTCTGTGATGAGCCTGCATGGCGAGTATGGGTCTGTCTGGTGAGTATGGGTCTCTGTGTTGTGAGTCTATGGGTCTCTGCATGATGGGTTTATGAGTCACTGTGTGTTGAGTCTATGGGTGTCTGTGATGAGTCTATGGGTCTCTGTGTGGTGAGTCGATGGTTCTCAAGTGAGTCTATGGGTCTGTGTAGTGAGCCTATGGGTCTATGTATGATGAGTCTATGGGTCTATGTGTGATGAGTCTATTGGTAGCTGCGTGGTGGGTCTATTGGTCTCTGTGTGATGAATCTATGAGTCTCTGTGTGATGAGTCTATGGGTCTCTGTGTAGTGCGTCTACGGGGTATTTGTGTATAAATTTCCACAGTGACCTTGCTTGTGTGCATTGTCCTTGTATTGGTTGCATTTTGGCATTGCCCTCTGGTCCACCACAATCGTGATGCACGGATTTTTTTTACTCTGGGTCCTCCGGCTTTTCCCCCGCCCACATTTAGAATCGACAAGCAGTTGATAGATTATTTTGCGCGTGCTACAAGTGTCCGCGTTATGACCATCGATAATGATAAGCCACTTCTGTTTAGCGGCCATCACAGGCGCGATGGCCAGGTGCGCTTCTGAAAATGTTATTTTTCTTAGTCGTCAACCTCCGTGGGCTTTGCCTTGGTCAGGGTTGGTGATCATTTGGTTTTCAGAGTAGATGTTCGATTATCCCGGCTAATGACAGGGTTAAAATCGCGGATCTCCACGCCACAAAACCGCTATTGCCGGGGTATAAAAACACGTTTAAGTTTCCCTGTCGAACGCACAGAGTCGGTAAATTAAAACTCGCGAATGAATGATCGCGTAAGTCGCTCGAAGTGATGGCGCACGCTTGTGGTGATCATTACTCTGTCGATTCAGAACTAATAACTTGACGATTGAGCGATGGAAGATGCTCCTGCTCGGTGATAATAATACAAATAAAACCTTCCTGGCTCATGCCCCGCAGAAGACTTGGCCCACTGAGTGGATAATAGCTGAGCCACAGCCAATCAGACATCAATCAAACTCCGCCACCCACTTTTGTAAAGCTATGGTAACTCCTGTACTGTAGAGGCTATCGCTTGGACATCAGATTAACTGGAGCAATACATTGGTTCGTTTTAAGCACTGGGTGTGACTTGTAGTAACACATTGACAAGGGATGACAATGTTGTCTAACTGTTTTTAGATTACTAATGTGGCCTTTTAAGGTTAAAAACACCACTAGTTATTCATTTCATGTAAAAATCTCAGGCGCCGCGGTTAATCTGTAAGTCGGCTCAATGGCACGCGAATTATCGAGAACACCAAATAAATATTGAATACTCGCAGATACAACTGTCATCAGTAGCAGAATAAACGTGCCAACAAGGACACTCAAAAAAATTACAATTTGTTATTTTCTTTGATCCTATCTACGTGACTTTACCGAAAGATCCAAGAATGTGAATTCCTGCGGTCACGAAATCTTTTAGTCAAGATTTTACAGTCAATTTTGATAATGTTGAAGTTCTGTGCAAAACTAGTTACTACTGGCCAAGACTAATTAGAGAATCTATCGAAATTGAAAGGAATAAAAATGTTTTAACCGTTCGGATAGCTACCGACTTACTGCTGCGTGGAAGCGAATCATCAAATAATACGTTGTTTAAATGCATGCCTATACAAGCCACCATGCTTCAATAGGGATTACCGTTGGTACGGCTATTTTAATACACACAATGGACAGGAAGGACAAGATCAATGGCCCTGCATAATGCGCATGCATCATGTATGTTGGCTCAAGAGTGCAGAATTGTGGTCACCACATTTACGCCTCTATATCAGAAATGAAACAGTAAGGCATCTCCACATAAAAGGAGCCGAGAGTGGGGGGGAGCTCAGGGCTCCATCGTCACTAAACGTCTCCGCTCGATAATGCGCTGTGAAGGGCAGCAGTTGGCTGTCTGAGTCGGCGCCGTCGGTGTTGTTACAGCCAGTGTCGTGTGTACAGGCCGAGGCTGTGAGCTACTGTGGAGAGAGCGTGTGCTAATGTAGCGTCAACGATTCAGAGCCAGAGTTTATAAGAGGCACAGGCACTTTCTTTATTACCAACTTCCACTGTCTCGTTAGTATGACTATACTAATGTCTCTGTATACGCATGCATAGCTCTCTCTCTGCATTAACGGCTCCGATTCGCTTGGTTGGCTACGTGCAGTTTGTATCTATGTACGGTTAACTTCTTTGACACCATACGTAGCCAACCGTGCTGTATGTACGTTGAACTTCTTTCGCACCGTAATGTAGCCAACCGTGCTAATGTGTGTGTGTGTTGAACTTCTTCCGCACAGTACGTAGCTGACCATGCTAAATATCCAAGCATATTTGCATTCGATATACCCATATACAACTTTCTTTGTATCTTTGCATTACTATATCTCAATAAACACAGCGCTCTCGACTGTCTATGTATCTGTATCCCCATCTCTTTTATCTGTGTACGAATTTGACTTTATACCTCAGTGCATATCTCTCCCCCCTCCCTCCCCACCTCTCTTTCCCCTTCCTACCCCCTCCCTCCCCCCTCTCCCCCCTCCCTACCCCCTCCTTCCCCCCTCCCTCCCTCTCCCCGTGTAGGCTACTGCCTGCCACTCGGCCACGCTGAGCTTGGCCGAGCCCCAGGTGGCGATGTTCTGCGGCAAGCTGAACATGCACCTGGGCCTGGACACTGGGCGCTGGCAGCCTGACCCCAGCGGGGTCACCAGCTGCCTGGCTACCAGACAGGACATACTCGCTTACTGCCAGCAGGTGAGACACTCACCTACTCACCCAGCCACTCACCCAGCCACTCGCCCACTCACTTACTCACCCGGCCACTCGCCTAGCCGCTCACCTAGCCACTCACCCACTCACCTACTCACCCAGCCACTCAGCCACTCACCTAGCCACTCGCTCACCTAGCCGCTCACCTAGCCACTCACCTAGCCACTCACCTAGCCACTCACCTAGCCGCTCACCTAGCCACTCACCTAGCCGCTCGCTCACCTAGCCACTCACCTAGCCACTCACCTAGCCACTCACCTAGCCACTCACCTAGCCACTCACCTAGCCACTCACCTAGCCATGCTCACCTAGCCACTCACTAGCACTCCACTAGCCACTTCAGCTACTAGCCTCACCTAGCACTCACCTAGCCACTCATCTAGCCACTCACCTAGCAAATCACCTAGGCCCACTCACCTAGCCACTCACCTAGCCACTCACCTACGCCTCACCTAGCCACTCACCTAGCCACTCAGCTACTCGCTCACCTAGCCACTCACCTACCACTATCGCTCACCTAGCCGCTCACCTAGCCGCTCACCTAGCCGCTCACCTAGCCGCTCACCTAGCCACTCACCTAGCGCACTCACTTAGCCACTCACCTAGCCACTCACCTACCGCTCACCTAGCCGCTGCACCTAGCCACTCACCTAGCCAGCTCACGCCTAGCCGCTCACCTAGCCGCTCACCTAGCCGCTCACCTAGCCGCTCACCTAGCCGCTCACCTAGCCGCTCACCTAGCCGCTCACCTAGCCGCTCACCTAGCCGCTCACCTAGCCGCTCACCTAGCCGCTCACCTAGCCGCTCACCTAGCCGCTCACCTAGCCGCTCACCTAGCCGCTCACCTAGCCGCTCAGCTACTCGCTCACCTAGCCGCTCACCTAGCCGCTCACCGAGCCGCTCACCTAGCCGCTCACCTAGCCGCTCACCTAGCCGCTCACCTAGCCGCTCACCTAGCCGCTCACCTAGCCACTCACCTAGCCACTCAGCTACTCGCTCACCCAGCCACTCACCTAACCACTCACTCACCCACTCACCCGGCCACTCGCCTAGCCGCTCACCTAGCCACTCACCCACTCACCTACTCACCCAGCCACTCAGCCACTCACCTAGCCACTCACCTAGCCACTCGCTCACCTAGCCGCTCACCTAGCCACTCACCTAGCCACTCACCTAGCCACTCACCTAGCCACTCACCTAGCCGCTCACCTAGCCACTCACCTAGCCGCTCACCTAGCCACTCACCTAGCCACTCACCTAGCCACTCACCTAGCCACTCACCTAGCCACTCGCTCACCTAGCCACTCACCTAGCCACTCACCTAGCCACTCATCTAGCCACTCACCTAGCCACTCAGCTACTCGCTCACCTAGCCACTCACCTAGCCACTCACCTAGCCACTCACCTAGCCACTCACCTAGCCACTCACCTAGCCACTCACCTAGCCACTCAGCTACTCGCTCACCTAGCCACTCACCTAGCCACTCGCTCACCTAGCCACTCACCTAGCCGCTCACCTAGCCGCTCACCTAGCCGCTCACCTAGCCACTCACCTAGCCACTCACCTAGCCACTCACCTAGCCGCTCACCTAGCCGCTCACCTAGCCGCTCACCTAGCCGCTCACCTAGCCGCTCACCTAGCCGCTCACCTAGCCGCTCAGCTACTCGCTCACCTAGCCGCTCACCTAGCCGCTCACCGAGCCGCTCACCTAGCCGCTCACCTAGCCGCTCACCTAGCCGCTCACCTAGCCGCTCACCTAGCCGCTCACCTAGCCGCTCACCTACCGCCACTCACCTAGCCACTCAGCTACTCGCTCACCCAGCCACTCACCTAACCACTCACTCACCCACTCACCCGGCCACTCGCCTAGCCGCTCACCTAGCCACTCACCCACTCACCTACTCACCCAGCCACTCAGCCACTCACCTAGCCACTCACCTAGCCACTCGCTCACCTAGCCGCTCACCTAGCCACTCACCTAGCCACTCACCTAGCCACTCACCTAGCCACTCACCTAGCCGCTCACCTAGCCACTCACCTAGCCGCTCGCTCACCTAGCCACTCACCTAGCCACTCACCTAGCCACTCACCTAGCCACTCACCTAGCCACTCGCTCACCTAGCCACTCACCTAGCCACTCACCTAGCCACTCATCTAGCCACTCACCTAGCCACTCAGCTACTCGCTCACCTAGCCACTCACCTAGCCACTCACCTAGCCACTCACCTAGCCACTCACCTAGCCACTCACCTAGCCACTCACCTAGCCACTCACCTAGCCACTCAGCTACTCGCTCACCTAGCCACTCACCTAGCCACTCGCTCACCTAGCCACTCACCTAGCCGCTCACCTAGCCGCTCACCTAGCCGCTCACCTAGCCACTCACCTAGCCACTCACATAGCCACTCACCTAGCCACTCACCTAGCCGCTCACCTAGCCGCTCACCTAGCCGCTCACCTAGCCACTCACCTAGCCGCTCACCTAGCCGCTCACCTAGCCGCTCACCTAGCCGCTCACCTAGCCGCTCACCTAGCCGCTCACCTAGCCACTCACCTAGCCGCTCACCTAGCCGCTCACCTAGCCGCTCACCGAGCCGCTCACCTAGCCGCTCACCTAGCCGCTCACCTAGCCGCTCACCTAGCCGCTCACCTAGCCGCTCACCTAGCCACTCACCTAGCCACTCAGCTACTCGCTCACCCAGCCACTCACCCAGCCACTCACTCACCCACTCACCCGGCCACTCGCCTAGCCGCTCACCTAGCCATTCACCCACTCACCTACTCACCTGGCCACTCGCCTAGCCGCTCACCTAGCCACTCACCCACTCACCTACTCACCCAGCCACTCACCTAGCCACTCACCTAGCCACTCACCTAGCCACTCGCTCACCTAGCCACTCACCCAGCCACTCACCTAGCCACTCACCCAGCCACTCACCTAGCCACTCACCTAGCCGCTCACCTAGCCACTCACCTAGCCACTCACCTAGCCACTCGCTCACCTAGCCACTCACCCAGCCACTCACCTAGCCACTCACCTAGCCACTCACCTAGCCACTCACCTAGCCGCTCACCTAGCCACTCACCCAGCCACTCACCTAGCCACTCACCCAGCCACTCACCCAGCCACTCACCTAGCCACTCGCCTAGCCGCTCACCTAGCCACTCACCCACTCACCTACTCACCCAGCCACTCAGCCACTCACCTAGCCACTCGCTCACCTAGCCGCTCACCTAGCCACTCACCTAGCCACTCACCTAGCCACTCACCTAGCCGCTCACCTAGCCACTCACCTAGCCGCTCGCTCACCTAGCCACTCACCTAGCCACTCACCTAGCCACTCACCTAGCCACTCACCTAGCCACTCACCTAGCCACTCACCTAGCCACTCACCTAGCCACTCACCTAGCCACTCGCTCACCTAGCCACTCACCTAGCCACTCACCTAGCCACTCACCTTGCCACTCAGCTACTCGCTCACCTAGCCACTCACCTAGCCACTCGCTCACCTAGCCACTCACCTAGCCACTCACCTAGCCACTCACCTAGCCACTCACCTAGCCACTCACCTAGCCACTCAGCTACTCGCTCACCTAGCCACTCACCTAGCCACTCGCTCACCTAGCCGCTCACCTAGCCGCTCACCTAGCCGCTCACCTAGCCGCTCACCTAGCCGCTCACCTAGCCACTCACCTAGCCACTCACTTAGCCACTCACCTAGCCACTCACCTAGCCGCTCACCTAGCCGCTCACCTAGCCACTCACCTAGCCACTCACTAGCCACTCACCTAGCCACTCACCTAGCCAGCTCACCTAGCCGCTCACCTAGCCGCTCACCTAGCCGCTCACCTAGCCGCTCACCTAGCCGCTCACCTAGCCGCTCACCTAGCCGCTCACCTAGCCGCTCACCTAGCCGCTCACCTAGCCGCTCACCTAGCCGCTCACCTAGCCGCTCACCTAGCCGCTCACCTAGCCGCTCACCTAGCCGCTCACCTAGCCGCTCACCTAGCCGCTCAGCTACTCGCTCACCTAGCCGCTCACCTAGCCGCTCACCGAGCCGCTCACCTAGCCGCTCACCTAGCCGCTCACCTAGCCGCTCACCTAGCCGCTCACCTAGCCGCTCACCTAGCCACTCAGCTACTCGCTCACCCAGCCACTCACCTAGCCACTCACTCACCCGCTCACACCGGCCACTCGCCTAGCCGCTCACCTAGCCACTCACCCACTCACCTACTCACCCAGCCACTCAGCCACTCACCTAGCCACTCACCTAGCCACTCGCTCACCTAGCCGCTCACCTAGCCACTCACCTAGCCACTCACCTAGCCACTCACCTAGCCACTCACCTAGCCACTCACCTAGCCGCTCACCTAGCCACTCACCTAGCCGCTCGCTCACCTAGCCACTCACCTAGCCACTCACCTAGCCACTCACCTAGCCACTCACCTAGCCACTCGCTCACCTAGCCACTCACCTAGCCACTCACCTAGCCACTCATCTAGCCACTCACCTAGCCACTCAGCTACTCGCTCACCTAGCCACTCACCTAGCCACTCACCTAGCCACTCACCTAGCCACTCACCTAGCCACTCACCTAGCCACTCACCTAGCCAATCACCTAGCCACTCAGCTACTCGCTCACCTAGCCACTCACCTAGCCACTCGCTCACCTAGCCACTCACCTAGCCGCTCACCTAGCCGCTCACCTAGCCGCTCACCTAGCCACTCACCTAGCCACTCACCTAGCCACTCACCTAGCCACTCACCTAGCCACTCACCTAGCCGCTCACCTAGCCGCTCACCTAGCCGCTCACCTAGCCGCTCACCTAGCCGCTCACCTAGCCACTCACCTAGCCACTCACCTAGCCGCTCACCTAGCCGCTCACCGAGCCGCTCACCGAGCCGCTCACCTAGCCGCTCACCTAGCCGCTCACCTAGCCGCTCACCTAGCCGCTCACCTAGCCACTCACCTAGCCACTCAGCTACTCGCTCACCCAGCCACTACCCAGCCACTCACTCACCCACTCACCCGGCCACTCGCCTAGCCGCTCACCTAGCCATTCACCCACTCACCTACTCACCTGGCCACTCGCCTAGCCGCTCACCTAGCCACTCACCCACTCACCCACTCACCTACTCACCCAGCCACTCACCTAGCCACTCACCTAGCCACTCACCTAGCCACTCGCTCACCTAGCCACTCACCCAGCCACTCACCTAGCCACTCACCCAGCCACTCACCTAGCCACTCACCTAGCCGCTCACCTCGCCACTCACCTAGCCACTCACCTAGCCACTCGCTCACCTAGCCACTCACCCAGCCACTCACCTAGCCACTCACCTAGCCACTCACCTAGCCACTCACCTAGCCGCTCACCTAGCCACTCACCCAGCCACTCACCTAGCCACTCACCCAGCCACTCACCCAGCCGCTCACCTAGCCGCTCACCTAGCCGCTCACCTAGCCGCTCACCTAGCCGCTCACCTAGCCGCTCACCTAGCCGCTCACCTAGCCACTCACCTAGCCACTCAGCTAGCCACTCGCTCACCTAGCCGCTCACCTAGCCGCTCACCTAGCCGCTCACCTAGCCACTCACCTAGCCACTCACCTAGCCACTCACCTAGCCACTCGCTCACCTAGCCACTCACCTAGCCACTCACCTAGCCACTCACCTAGCCACTCGCTCACCTAGCTGCTCACCTAGCCGCTCACCTAGCCACTCACCTAGCCACTCACTCACCCAGCCACTCACCTAGCCACTCACCCAGCCACTCACCTAGCCGCTCGCCTAGCCGCTCACCTAGCCGCTCACCTAGCCACTCACCTAGCCGCTCACCTAGCCACTCACCTAGCCACTCACCTAGCCGCTCACCTAGCCACTCACCTAGCCACTCACCTAGCCGCTCGCTCACCTAGCTGCTCACCTAGCCGCTCACCTAGCCACTCACCTAGCCGCTCACCTAGCCACTCACCTAGCCACTCGCTCACCTAGCCACTCACCTAGCCACTCACCTAGCCACTCGCTCACCTAGCCACTCACCTAGCCACTCACCTAGCCACTCACCTAGCCACTCATCTAGCCACTCGCTCACCTAGCCGCTCACCTAGCCACTCACCTAGTCACTCACCTAGCCACTCACCTAGCCACTTGCTCACCTAGCCGCTCACCTAGCCGCTCACCTAGCCGCTCACCTAGCCGCTCACCTAGCCGCTCACCTAGCCGCTCACCTAGCCACTCACCTAGCCACTCACCTAGCCACTCACCTAGCCACTCACCTAGCCACTCACCTAGCCACTCACCTAGCCATTCACCTAGCCACTCACCTAGCCACTCACCTAGCCACTCACCTAGCCACTCACCTAGCCACTCACCTAGCCGCTCACCTAGCCGCTCACCTAGCCGCTCACCTAGCCGCTCACCTAGCCGCTCACCTAGCCGCTCACCTAGCCACTCGCCTAGCCACTCGCCTAGCCACTCGCCTAGCCGCTCGCCTAGCCGCTCGCCTAGCCGCTCACCTAGCCACTCACCTAGCCACTCACCTAGCCACTCACCTAGCCACTCATCTAGCCACTCACCTAGCCACTCACCTAGCCACTCACCTAGCCACTCACCTAGCTGCTCACCTAGCCGCTCACCTAGCCACTCACCTAGCCACTCACCTAGCCACTCGCTCACCTAGCCACTCACCTAGCCACTCACCTAGCCACTCACCTAGCCACTCACCTAGCCACTCGCCTAGCCGCTCACCTAGCCACTCACCTAGCCACTCACCTAGCCACTCACCTAGCCACTCACCTAGCCACTCACCTAGCCGCTCACCTAGCTGCTCACCTAGCCGCTCACCTAGCCACTCACCTAGCCGCTCACCTAGCCACTCACCTAGCCACTCGCTTACCTAGCCACTCACCTAGCCACTCACCTAGCCACTCGCTCACCTAGCCACTCACCTAGCCACTCACCTAGCCACTCACCTAGCCGCTCACCTAGCCGCTCACCTAGCCGCTCACCTAGCCGCTCACCTAGCCGCTCACCTAGCCGCTCACCTAGCCGCTCACCTAGCCACTCGCCTAGCCACTCGCCTAGCCACTCACCTAGCCACTCACCTAGCCACTCACCTAGCCGCTCACCTAGCCACTCACCTAGCCACTCACCTAGCCACTCACCTAGCCACTCACCTAGCCACTCGCTCACCTAGCCGCTCACCTAGCCGCTCACCTAGCCACTCACCTAGCCACTCACCTAGCCGCTCACCTAGCCACTCACCTAGCCGCTCACCTAGCCACTCACCTAGCCGCTCACCTAGCCACTCACCTAGCCACTCACCTAGCCCCTCACCTAGCCGCTCACCTAGCCACTCACCTAGCCACTCACCTAGCCGCTCACCTAGCCGCTCACCTAGCCACTCACCTAGCCACTCACCTAGCCACTCACCTAGCCACTCACCTAGCCACTCGCCTAGCCGCTCACCTAGCCACTCACCTAGCCACTCACCTAGCCACTCACCTAGCCACTCACCTAGCCACTCACCTAGCCACTCACCTAGCCACTCATCTAGCCACTCACCTAGCCACTCACCTAGCCACTCACTTAGCCACTCACCTAGCCACTCACCTAGCCACTCACCTAGCCACTCGCTCACCTAGCCACTCACCTAGCCACTCGCCTAGCCACTCGCCTAGCCACTCGCCTAGCTACTCGCTCACCTAGCCACTCACCTAGCCACTCACCTAGCCGCTCGCCTAGCCGCTCACCTAGCCACTCACCTAGCCACTCACCTAGCCGCTCACCTAGCCGCTCACCTAGCCGCTCACCTAGCCGCTCACCTAGCCGCTCACCTAGCCGCTCACCTAGCCGCTCACCTAGCCGCTCACCTAGCCGCTCACCTAGCCACTCACCTAGCCACTCACCTAGCCGCTCACCTAGCCGCTCACCTAGCCGCTCACCTAGCCGCTCACCTAGCCGCTCACCTAGCCGCTCACCTAGCCGCTCACCTAGCCGCTCACCTAGCCGCTCACCTAGCCACTCACCTAGCCACTCACCTAGCCACTCGCTCACCTAGCCGCTCACCTAGCCGCTCACCTAGCCGCTCACCTAGCCACTCACCTAGCCACTCACCTAGCCACTCACCTAGCCACTCACCTAGCCACTCACCTAGCCACTCACCTAGCCACTCACCTAGCCACTCACCTAGCCACTCACCCACTCACCTAGCCACTCACCTAGCTGCTCACCTAGCCCCTCACCCAATCATCCACCCACTTTCCCTCCCAGGTGTATCCGGAGCTCCAGGTGCGAAATGTGGTGGAGGGGAACTCCCCGGTGACTATCGGAGGCTGGTGCCGGAGAGACAGAGCCCACGGGAAGAGGAGCGGAGCAGGAGAGAGGGGAGGAGAGAGGGGAGACTCTGCCAGCACGGGGCAGTGCAGGGGTCACCCTCACGTCGTGGTGCCGTACCGCTGCCTAGGTAAGAGACACTAGGAGGGAGAGAGGGACACATACAGGGAGAGAGACACGGGGAGAGACACGAGGAAAGAGAGAGAAAGGGACACATACACGGGGAGAGACACGGGAAGAGAGAGAGAAAGGGACACATACAGAGAGAGAGACACGGGGAGAGAGACACGGGGAGAGCGAGAGAAAGGGACACATACAGGGAGAGAGACGCGGGGGGAGTGACGCACCTAGCCTGACACAAGCGCCGTGGTGACATCATGCCGGTTGTTGTGTGACTGTGGCACTGTGTCACTTTGTGTGACTCACTGTGTGTCACTTTGTGTGACTGTGTAACTTTTTCACTGCGTGTCACTGTGTCACCGTGTGTGTGTGTGACTGTGTCACTGTGTGTGTGTGTGACTGTGTCACTGTGTGTGTCACCGTGTGTGTGTGACTATGTCACTGTGTGTGTCACCGTGTGTGTGACTGTATCACCGTGTGTCACCGTGTGTCACCGTGTGTGTGTGACTGTGTCACCCTGTGTGTGACTGTCACTGTGTTACCGTGTGTGACTCACTGTGTGTGTCACCCTGTGTGTAACTGTGTCACTGTGTGTGTGACTGTCACTGTGTGTCACCCTGTGTGTGACTGTGTCACCGTGTGTGTAACTGTGTCACTGTGTGTGTCACCCTGTGTGTGACTGTGTCACTGTGTGTCACCGTGTGTGTGACTGTATCACCATGTGTCACCGTGTGTGTGACTGTCACTGTGTGTGTCACTGTGTGTGTGACTGTCACTGTGTGTCACCGTGTGTGTGACTGTCACTGTGCGTGTCACCGTGTGTGTGACTGTCACTGTGCGTGTCACCGTGTGTGTGACTGTCACTGTGCGTGTCACCGTGTGTGTGACTGTCACCGTGTGTGTGACTGTCACTGTGCGTGTCACCGTGTGTGTGACTGTCACTGTGCGTGTCACCGTGTGTGTGACTGTCACTGTGCGTGTCACTGTGTGTGTGACTGTCACCGTGTGTGTGACTGTCACTGTGCGTGTCACCGTGTGTGTGACTGTCACTGTGCGTGTCACCGTGTGTGTGACTGTCACCGTGTGTGTGACTGTATCACCGTGTGTCACTGTGTATCACCCTGTGCGTGACTGTGTCACCGTGTGTGTGTGACTGTGGCACCCTGTGTGTGACTATCACTGTGTGTCACCGTGTGTGACTGTCACTGTGTGTGTCACCCTGTGTGTGACTGTGTCACTGTTTGTGTCACCCTGTGTGTGACTGTGTCATTGTTTGTGTCACCCTGTGTGTGACTGTGTCACTGTTTGTGTCACCCTGTGTGTGACTGTGTCACTGTTTGTGTCACCCTGTGTGTGACTGTGTCACTGTTTGTGTCACCCTGTGTGTGACTGTGTCACTGTTTGTGTCACCGTGTGTGTGACTGTGTCACTGTGTGTCACCGTGTGTGACTGTGTCACTGTGTGTCACCGTGTGTGTGACTGTATCACCGTGTGTCACCGTGCGTGTGACTGTCACTGTGTGTGTCACCGTGTGTGTGACTGTGTCACTGTGTGTGTCACTGTGTGTGTGACTGTCACTGTGTCTCACCGTGTGTGTGACTGTCACTGTGTCACCGTGTGTGTGACTGTCACTATGCGCGTCACCGTGTGTGTGACTGTCACCGTGCGTGTCACCGTGTGTGTGACTGTCACCGTGTGTGTGACTATCACTGTGTGTCACTGTGTGTCACCCTGTGCGTGACTGTGTCACCGTGTGTGTGTGACTGTGTCACCCTGTGTGTGACTGTCACTGTGTGTCACCGTGTGTGACTGTCACTGTGTGTGTCACCCTGTGTGTGTGTGTCACCCTGTGTGACTGTGTCACTGTTTGTGTCACCCTGTGTGTGACTGTGTCACTGTTTGTGTCACCGTGTGTGTGTGACTGTCACCCTGTGTGACTGTGTCACTGTGTGTGTGTGACTGTGTCACTGTGTGTCACCCTGTGTGTGACTGTGTCACCATGTGTGTGACTGTGTCACTGTGTGTCACCCTGTGTGTGACTGTGTCACTGTGTCACCGTGTGTGTGACTGTGTCACTGTGTGACCGTGTGTGTGACTGTATCACCGTGTGTCAGCGTGTGTGTGACTGTCACTGTGTGTGTCACCGTGTGTGTGACTGTGTCACCGTGTGTGTGATTCTCACTGTGTGTGTCACCGTGTGTGGGACTGTATCACCGTGTGTGTGATTCTCACTGTGTGTGTCACCGTGTGTGTGACTGTGTCACTGTGTGCGTGACTGTCACTGTGTCACCGTGTGTGTGACTGTCACTCTGTGTCACCGTGTGTGTGACTGTCACTGTGTGTGTCACCGTGTGTGTGACTGTCACTGTGTGTGTCATCGTGTGTGTGACTGTCACTGTGTGTGTCATCATGTGTGTGACTGTCACTGTGTGTGACTGTGTCACTGTGTGTCACTGCATGTGTCACTGTGTGTGTCACTGTGTGTGTCACTGTGTGTGTCACTGTGGGGAGCGGTAGTGCAGCGGTTAGCGCGCTGCGCTATGAACCTGGCGACCCGGGTTCGATTCCCGCTCACGGCCAACACCGCCAGTGACGATTATCTGAACCGGTCCTGGGCCTCCCCTAGGTCGACTCAGCCTGAAATGAGTACCCGGTGCGGTGTGTAAACATCGCCACTGGGGAGACAAAGGCGGTCGGGCGTGGTGCTGGCCACCCACCCCCTCGTGTACCGTTCCAGCCTTCATAGGTGCTCGCTAACAGCACTTGCCTGTTAAGGCTATACGGGGGATCTTTGTCACTGTGTGTAACTGTGTGTGACTGTGTGTCACTGCACAGTCGGAGAGTTCAAGAGTGACGCCCTCCTCGTACCAGAGAAGTGCCACTTCCTGCACAAGGAGAAGATGGAGGAGTGTGAGACTCATCTGCACTGGCACAGCACTGCCAAGGAGGTGTGTGTCAGTGCTTGTGTTACTCTGTGTGCCACTGGGAGTGAGTGGCTCAACACTGCCCATAGACTCAACACTGCACCATAGACTTAACACTGCCCATAGACTTAACACTGCCCATAGACTCAACACTGCAACATAGTCTCAACACTGCACCATAGACTCAGCACTAGACCATAGACTCAACACTGCCCCAATGGACTCAACACTGCACCATAGACTCAACACTGCCCATAGACTCAACACTGCACCATAGACTCAACACTGCCCATAGACTCAACACTGCCCATAGACTCAACACTGCCCATAGACTCAACACTGCACCATAGACTCAACACTGCACCATAGACTCAGCACTGCACCATAGACTCAGCACTAGACCATAGACTCAACACTACCCCAATGGACTCAACACTGCCCATAGACTCAACACTGCCCATAGACTCAACACTGCACAATAGATTCAACACTGCACCATAGACTCAACACTGCACCATAGACTCAACACTGCACCATAGACTCAACACTGCCCCAATGGACTCAACACTGCACCATAGACTCAACACTGCCCATAGACTCAACACTGCCCATAGACTCAACACTGCACCATAGACTCAACACTGCACCATAGACTCAGCACTGCACCATAGACTCAACACTGCCCATAGACTCAACACTGCACCAATGGACTCAACACTGCACCATAGACTCAGCACTGCACCATAGACTCAGCACTAGACCATAGACTTAACACTGCCCCATAGACTCAACACTGCACCATGGACTCAACACTGCACCATAGACTCAACACTGCACCATAGACTCAACACTGCCCCAATGGACTCAACACTGCACCATAGACTCAACACTGCACCATAGACTCAACACTGCCCATAGACTCAACACTGCACCATAGACTCAACACTGCACCATAGACTCAACACTGCACCATAGACTCAACACTGCCCATAGACTCAACACTGCACCAATGGACTCAACACTGCACCATAGACTCAACACTGCCCATAGACTCAACACTGCACAATAGATTCAACACTGCACAATAGATTCAACACTGCACCATAGACTCAACACTGCACCGTAGACTCAACACTGCACCATAGACTCAACACTGCCCCAATGGACTCAACACTGCCCATAGACTCAACACTGCCCATAGACTCAACACTACCCATAGACTCAACACTGCACCATAGACTCAACACTGCACCATAGACTCAACACTGCACCATAGACTCAACACTGCACCATAGCGTTAGCACTGCCCATATCTTTCTGTATATCTCTGTTTCTGTCTATCTCTGTATATCTCTGTTTCTGTCTCTCTCTGTGTCTCTCCGTCTCTCTGTCTCTCTCTGTATATCGCTCTGTCTCTCTCTGTAAGTCTCTGTCTCTCTCTGTATATCGCTCTGTCTGTCTCTGTCTCTCTCTGTATGTCTCCACCTCTCTCCGTGTCACCCCCATGTAGGCGTGCGAGGCTCAGCACTCCAGTCTGCTCAACTTCGGCATGCTGCTGCCCTGCGCCATCGACCGTTTCCGTGGTGTGGAGTTCGTCTGCTGCCCTCTGGATCCCCAGCGAGCTGCCCATGAGGGGCAGCAGCAGCAGCCAGAAGGGCAGCAGCAGGAGGAAGAGGAGCAGGAGGATAGGAATCTCAACGTCGGATTCACCTCTCAGGAGCTACGGCCCATCGATCCGGTGTACGACTGGTGGGAGGGCGGCCATGGCACGGACAGCAACTACCAGGCTGGGTGAGTGAGAGACATAGCAACTACCAGGCTGGGTGAGTGAGAGACATAGCAACTACCAGGCTGGGTGAGTGAGAGACATAGACATCAACTACCAGGCTGGGTGGGTGTGAGTTGTGTGGCACAGACAGCAACTACCAGGCTGGGTGGGTGTGAGTTGTGACACACAGATAACAACTACCAGGCGGGGTGGGTGTGAGTTGTGTGGCACAGACAGCAACTACCAGGTGGGGTGGGTGTGAGTTGTGACACACAGATAACAACTATCAGGCTGGGTGGGTGTGAGTTGTGTGGCACAGATAACAACTATCAGGCTTGGTGGGTGTGAGTTGTGACACACAGATAACAACTATCAGGCGGGGTGGGTGTGAGTTGTGAGGCACAGATAACAACTATCAGGCTGGGTGGGTGTGAGTTGTGTGGCACAGATAACAACTATCAGGCTAGGTGGGTGTGAGTTGTGTGGCACAGATAACAACTACCAGGCTAAGTGGGTGTGAGTTGTGACACACAGATAACAACTACCAGGCTAAGTGGGTGTGAGTTGTGTGGCACAGATAACAACTATCAGGCTGGGTGGGTGTGAGTTGTGACACAGATAACAACTATCAGGCGGGGTGGGTGTGAGTTGTGAGGCACAGATAACAACTATCAGGCGGGGTGGGTGTGAGTTGTGACACACAGATAACAACTACCAGGCTAAGTGGGTGTGAGTTGTGAGGTGACATAGATAACAACTATCAGGCTGGGCGGGTGAGTGTGGGTGTATGCCCGGCTCTCTTGCTCACTTCTCCTCACCCGTCGTAGTGAGGAGCTCGCCGTGGACGACTCTCCACCTCCTCCTGCCCTCGCCAATGGCGACGGCGACGCTGGCGACGATGATGGCGACGAAGATGCCGGTGACGGTGATGATGATGAGGAGGAGGGGGGCGATGATGGCGACAATGACGATGGCGACGATGGTGACGACGATGGCAATGATGGCGACGACGATGGCGACGACGATGGCGGCGACGATGGCGGCAACGATGGCGACGACGATGGCAACGATGGCGACGATGATGATGAGGTGGAGGATGGAGTCACCGTCACCACGACCACTGAGTGGGGTGAGAGGGAGGGAGGGAGGGGAGGGAGGGGAGGGAGGGAGGGAGGGAGGGAGGGAGGGGAGGGAGGGAGGGAGGGGGAGGAGGGAGGGGAGGGAGGGGAGGGAGGGGAGGGAGGGAGGGAGGGGAGGAGGGGAGGAGGGAGGGAGGGAGGGAGGGGGAGGGAGGGAGGGGAGGGAGGGAGGGGAGGGAGGGAGGGGAGGGAGGGAGGGAGGGAGGGAGGGGAGGGAGGGAGGGGAGGGAGGGAGGGAGGGAGGGGAGGGAGGGAGGGAGGGGAGGGAGGAGGGAGGGAGGGAGGGAGGGAGGGGAGGGAGGGGAGGGAGGGAGACCTCCACAGCCGTGCTCACTCCACTGCTGGATGGACACAGATAATAAAACAGAGACACCTCTACTCAGTGTAGCCTTCTGCATTCTAGAGGCTATACGGGGGAGCTTCGTGTGTGTTGTGTCTCTCTCTGGCTGTGTCAGTGTGTGTGTCTGTATGGCTGTGTGTCTATATGGCTGTGTGGCTGTGTGTGTCTGTGTATGTCTGTGTATGTTTGTGTGTGGCTGTGTGTGGCTGTGTGTCTGTGTGGTTGTGTGACTGTGTTTGTTTGTATGGCTGTGTGTCTGTGTGTTTATATGGCTGTGTATGTCTGTGTGGCTGTGTGTGTCTCTATGTGTGTGTCTGTGTGGCTGTGTGTGTGTGGCTGTGTGTCTGTGTGTGTCTGTATGGCTGTGTGTCTGTGTGTGTCTGTGTGTGTCTGGGGAGAGGCCTCTCCCCTTATGGCGTCTGCGACCACCACAGTGGCTAAACGGGGGCTCTGGACGGGTGCGAGGGGCTGGTAACCCCTCCACTCTCAATTCATTACCACTAAACTACGAATGAAACATAAATTTGTAACATATAAGCTTGTGCCAGAGGCCCCGGGGTGACAGGCTTCTATGACGTCTCCTGGCCAAACCCCAATTGGTTGAATGTTCGAACGCTCACTGCGGAGGAGAGGCTGCCACATGAGGGGTGTACAGTCCTCCACTCGGAGCAGGAGACTGCCAAACAACAGGGTGTGGCTCTTCTTCTGAACAAAAGAATGAAGGGGGCGTGGGAGCGTGGCGGTGAGGTGTGGGAAGTTGTAAGCCCCAGGATACTTTGGGTTCGCCTTCCCATCAACCGGAGGCGAGGAGTGGTGGTCGTGGGTTACTTATGCCCCCACCGAAGACGAACATCCGTGGAGGGATGCAGGCAAAGCCGATGAGTCGGATGCCTTCTATGACCTCCTGTCACAGGTGCTGGCTAAAGTGGCCACTCGGGACAGAGTCATCTTGTTGGGTGACTTCAATGCCCGAGTTGGTCATGATGCTGGCACCTGGTCTGGAGTGATTGGAAGGCATGGGCCAGATCAGCTCAATAACAACGGTAGGAGGCTGCTAGATTTGTGTGCAACCCATGGGCTTGTAATTACCAACACACTCTTCCGGCATTGGCGCATCCACACAACATCATGGATGCATGCCGGGATGCCGGGTCCAAGCAAGAACATCTGCTGGACTACATAGTGAAGGACCAGCGGATGCGAGCCCATGTCCTTGACACCAGGACCTACTGTGGAGCTGATCTGCCCTCTGACCATCGACTAGTCATCTGTAAGATGCGCCTGCCATTCTTCCACTCCGGTGGTGGGTGTACACCCAGGACCCAATTCCAACCAAAAGTGGCCTGGTCTCAGTTAGCTGATGAAAGTTGCAAGCGAGAATTTCATCATCGCTTGCAGCTGGGGTTGGCATCGTCCCCCACTCCACCTGATGTCGAGGGTAAATGGGCGAGGTTTAAGACTGTGACTCAGCTGCAATGGCTGCTTTGGGTACGCGGTCCAGACCTCCCCAGAAACCCTGGCTGACAGAGGAGGTGTTCAGGTTAATTGATAAAAAGCGACAGGCCCACTCTCATCGCCTACAGCATCCCACGTCAGAGAATGAGGAGGTTTACCGCAGCCTTCGCTCGGAGGTTCGGAGAGCCGTAAGGCGCTGCAAGGATGGGTGGTGGTCGGGGGTTGCTGAAGAGATGGAGTCTGCCTCAGTGGCCCGCTATCACAAATCACTATTTAACTCCATCAAAAAAGTAACCTGCAGCGCCACACCTATTACCATCATTAGGGGAAAAAAACGGTTATCCAATCTCCGACCCCCAGGAACAGGTTTTCAGATTTGCTGAGCATTTCTGTGAAGTCCTGGGGGAGGGAAAATCTCTCAGCCAGGAAAACATAATGGCACAAAGTGGGGATAACCCTGCTGAGGCTGCGGTGCCTCAAATATTGGAAGATGTCACCCCCTGTGAGTGGCTGGCTGAGGTGCCAGCTGTTGAGGAAGTACTGAAGGCGATCCGGAGTCTGAGACCAGGAAAGGCACCGGGCAAAGATGATCTCCCAAGCGAAATGCTGAGGGAGGGTAGCGTTTGTGCACAGACTGCCCTATATGACATCATAACAACAGTCTGGACCGCTGGACGGGTACCGCAGGATTGGAAGGATGCCCTGGTGGTCCCCCTCTTTAAGAAGGGGGACCGCACAGACTGTAACAACTACAGGGGCATCTCACTCCTCAGTGTGCCAGGAAAGGTCCTGGCAAGGATTATTCAACATCGCCTTGCTAGGCACGCTGAGGAGAGGCTTGCGGAGCCCCAATGCGGTTTCAGGAAAGGGCGGTCCTGCACAGATGCCATATTTTCTGTCCATCTGCTACAGCAGAGGTGTAGGGAATTCCAAAAAGATCTACATCTCTGCTTTATTGACCTGGTCAAGGCCTATGATACCATCAGTAGGCCTGGGCTCTGGGTTGTTCTTCGTGCTTTCGGAGTCCCTGACCCTCTGCTCACGATCATTAAGGACCTTCATGATGGTGAGCGGGCCCGGGTAAAACTACGTGGCCGGGAGTCGGAGCCTGTCCCTGTACACCTTGGGGTGCGACAGGGATGTCCTCTGGCTCCCACATTATTTAACATCTATTTCGACTGCGTAGTTCGTGAAGCCTTCAATAGCTGTACCGGGGGAATTTCCATTTGGTACAGATATAATGGGAGGCTGATGGACGCCCGGGTGCGATCAAGGGATGGCTCCCTATTGGTCAACCACGTTATGTATGCCAATGATTTGGTAATAGCTGCTCATTCAGAAGAGGAGTTGGAGACGCTGCTGCTGAGACTGGAGCGTGCCACTAAGAGGTGGGGCCTTACCATCAGCCCCACCAAAACTAAGCACCTGCCTGGGTATTTTGTACCATTGGACACTCCAACCCCACAACTCCCAATCGGTGATGGGGCAGTTGTGGAGAGAGTGGAAAGTTTCCCATACCTGGGCAGTGTGCTTATGACCGGCTCCAGTTTATCAGCAGAGGTCTCACTCCGAATCAGTCGAGCGGCAATATCTTTTCATCGGTTACGTAACGCTGTGTGGAAGCTACCTGGTCTGTCGCTCCGCACGAAGCTTCAGGTCTTCTCGGCCACGGTCATTCCCTCCCTTCTCTACGCTTGCGAAACGTGGACCCCCCTAATGGAGCATCTTCGCCGGTTGGAAACATTTAGGCTGGCCTGCCTACGATCCATCCTGGGTTTAACCAGGCTGGATTGTATGAGGAGCTCACAAATCCTTGAAAGATCTGGGCAAAGTCCCATCGGTGAGTTCCTCCGGCAGGCAAGGCTGCGTTGGCTGGGTCATGTAGCCCGCATGCCCAGCCACCGCATGCCTAAACAGCGTTTGCTCGGCCGAATCGAGGGGGTTAAATGGGCGCAGCACGGGCTGGAGAAGAGATGGAGTGATGTGGTACAGGAGGACGTGGAGCTGAGTGGACTTGCCGATGACCGGTACCAGCGGTGTCAAGATCGGCTTCCGTGGAGGAGGAAGCTCGTGAAGGACGCTGCTGCTACTGGGCAGTGCCAGGCTAAGTGCACTGTGAGGCTACTGACATCCACCGCCACTTAATGGCGAATGGCGGTTGTTGTTGTTGTGGATACTTGAAGAGAAAAAATATAAATATTGGGGCAGGAGGCACGGGGGTGTAGAGTAGTGCCCCGGTTGTGCATCATTTGGAATATTGGAAAATTCGGCAAGGCCAGAGCCCCGCCTGTGTCGTATAAATAAGGTTACTGTTTGTAGAAATTGTTCAAGCGGCTTCCAAATATTATCACACAAACCATGAACCTCCCCCTCTCCCCCTCCCTCTCTCCCCCTCTCCCCCTCTCTCCCTCCTTCCCTCTCCCCCTCCCTCTCTATCTCCCCCTCTCTCCTTCTCAACCCCCTCTTTCTCCTCCCTCCCTCTCGCTCTCTCCCCGCAGCTGCCAGTTCCATCTCCCCATCTCCCACGACCACCTCCTCCGCCCCCCGCTCCTCCTCTCCTCCGGCCGTGGAGGGGGGGGAGCAGGGAGAGATATTGGGGGGGGGCGAGGAAAAAGAGGAGGAGGAGGTGAAGGAGGAGGAGGTGAAGGAGGAGGAGGAGGAGGAGGTGGAGGAGGTGGCCGGGGGGGAGCATCGTAGATTCCTCGCCGCCAAGGAAGCTCTTGAGCGGAGTCACAGGGAGGAGATGGGGCTGGCGATGAGAGCGTGGGAGCAGCGTGGGAGCAGCCCCGGGGAGAGAGGGGGCCTCATCCAGGTGGGGGGGAGCGTGGGGGGGGGGAGCGTGGGGGGAGAGAGGGGGACTCATCGAGCGTGGGGGAGTGTGTGGGGGGAGCATGTGGGGGGGGGGGCGAGTGTGTGGGGGGATGCATGTGGGGGGGGGCGAGTGTGGGGGGGGAGTGTGGGGGGGGGTTCTCTGCTGTGGAGTGAATGGTGTTGACACATTAACCAGTTGACCCATTGACCCGTCTACCTGTTGACACATTGAATCTTTGATCTATTAATCTTTGATCCGTTGCCCGACTGACACATTGACCCGTCTACCTGACCCATCAGGGGTGTTGAGTCGGCTCCGCGGCGACCGCACTGGCATGTTGGGCGCGTTGAGTCGCCTAGCCAGCTGTGCCGGGTTGCTACAGGTCAAGTCAACAGTGGCACCTTGACAGGGCAATGGGGTCACATCCAGTCGATCCGTCAAGCCGTTGCCTGGTGACTGGTTGACTGGTTGAGTGGTTGGTTGAGTGGTTGACTGGTTGAGTGGTTGACTGGTTGTTGTTGTTGCCGTTGTTAAGCGGTTCCAGCTGGAGGTGTCCCGCATGGACCGTGCGTACGCCCAGCGCAGGCAGCTGCTGCTGCAGGGCCATGCGCGGCGCGCCCAGCAGGCGCTGAGCGACCGCCGCAGGGCGGCACTGGAGGAGCTGCTGGGCACGGTGCAGGGGGATCACGAGACGCGGGTAGCCACCACCACCTACTAGTAGTACTACTAGTATTACTACCACACAGATCCCCATAGACTCACCACACAGAGACCCATAGACTCACCACACGGAGACCCATAATTTCACCACACAGATACCTATCGACTCACCACACAGAGACCCATAGACTCACCACACAGAGACCTATAGACTCATCACACAGAGACCCATAGACTCACCACACAGATACCCATAGACTCACCACACAGAGACCTATAGACTCACCACACAGATACCCATAGACTCACCACACAGAGACCTATAGACTCATCACACAGAGACCCATAGACTCATTACACAGAGACCCATAGACTCGCACACAGAGACCCATAGACTCACCACACAGAGATCCACAGACTCACCACACAGAGATCTACAGACTCATCACACAGAGACCTATAGACTCATCGCACAGAGACCCACAGACTCACCACACAGAGATCCACAGACTCATCACACAGAGACCTATAGACTCCTCACACAGAGACCACAGACTCACCACACAGATATCCATGGACTCACCACACAGAGACCCATAGACGTTGTCCGTGTGTCTCAACGTGTATTTGTGTGTGTGTGTGTCTCACCATGTGTCTCTGTGTGTGTGTGTCACCGTGTGTGTGTGTGTCACGTGTGTGTGTGTGTCACGTGTGTGTGTGTCACCGTGTGTGTCACGGTGTGTGTCACTGTGTGTGTGTGTCACCGTGTGTGTGTGTCACCGTGTGTGTTTGTCACTGTGTGTGTCACCGTGTGTGTGTGTCACCGTGTGTGTGTCCCCGTGTGTGTCACCGTGTGTCACCGTGTGTGTGTGTCACCGTGTGTGTGTCACGGTGTTTGTGTGTGTGTCACTGTGTGTGTGTGTCACTGTGTGTGTGTGTCACCGTGTGTGTGTGTGTCACCGTGTGGTGTGTGTGTCACCGAGTGTGTGTGTCACCGAGTGTGTGTGTGTCACCGAGTGTGTGTGTCACCGTGTGTGTGTCACCGTGTGTGTGTGTGTCACCGTGTGTGTCACCGTGTGTGTGTCACCGTGTGTGTCATCGTGTGTGTGTGTGTCACCGTGTGTGTGTGTGTCACCGTGTGTGTGTGTGTCACCGTGTGTGTCATTGTGTGTGTGTCACCGTGTGTGTGTGTGTCACCGTGTGTGTGTGTGTCACCGTGTGTGTGTGTGTCACCGTGTGTGTGTGTGTCACCGTGTGTGTGTGTCACCGTGTGTGTGTGTGTCACCGTGTGTGTGTGTGTCACCGTGTGTGTAGCCACACCGCGTGGTGCAGGCTCTCCGGCACTACCTGAAAGCCGAGTCCAAAGACCGCACGCACAGCCCTGAGGCACCTCCAGCACACGGCCAGCGTCGACCCCGCAAGGGCACAGGCCATGAAGGCCCAGGTGGGAGATTGGTGGGGGGAGAGGGGGGAGGGGGCTGGGGGGGAGAGGGGGGAGGGGGCTGGGGGGAGGGGAAGGAGAGGGGAGGGAGGGGAAGGGGGGGGGGTGCAGGGTTGGCGACTTCCTCCAAACTTTGAGGCACAAAAAAATGCCTCTCCCCAATCTCTCTCTATACTCTCCCCAAACTCTCCCTAATCTCTCTCCAATTTCTCTCCAATTTCTCTCTAAACTCTCTCTAATCTCTCTCTAATTCCTCTCTAATCTCTCCGCCCAGGTGGATGCTCACCTGTTGGCTATCGACGAACGAATCAACCAGACCCTGGCGCTGCTGCTGGGACGCCTCCCACCACTCTCCTCCGACATGCAGCGCCAGATCGGTAGTAACACAGCAGTAGTAGTAGTAGCACAGTAGTAGTAGTAACACAGCAGTAGTAGTAGTAACGTAGTCGTAGTAACACAGTAGTAGTAGTAACACAGCAGTAGTAGTAGTAACACAGTAGTAGTCGTAACGTAGTAGTAGTAACACAGTAGTAGTCGTAACACAGCAGTAGTAGTAGTAACATAGTCGTAGTAACACAGTAGTAGTAGTAACACAGTAGTAGTAGTAACACAGTAGTAGTAGTAACACAGTAGTAGTAGTAACACAGCAGTAGTAGTAGTAACACAGCAGTAGTAGTAGTAACACAGTAGTAGTCGTAACGTAGTAGTAGTAACACAGTAGTAGTAGTCGTAACGTAGTAGTAGTAACACAGTAGTAGTAGTAACACAGTAGTAGTAGTAACACAGTAGTAGTAACACAGTAGTAGTAGTAACAGTAGTAGTAGTAACACAGTAGTAGTAGTCGTAACGTAGTAGTAGTAACACAGTAGTAGTAGTAACACAGCAGTAGTAGTAGTAACACAGTAGTAGTAGTAACACAGTAGTAGTAGTAACAGTAGTAGTAGTAACACAGTAGTAGTAGTCGTAACATAGCAGTAGTAACACAGTAGTAGTAGTAACACAGTAGTAGTAGTAACACAGTAGTAGTAGTAACACAGTAGTAGTAGTAACACAGTAGTAGTAGTAACAGTAGTAGTAGTAGTCGTAACATAGTAGTAGTAACACAGTAGTAGTAGTAACACAGCAGTAGTAGTAGTAACACAGTAGTAGTAACAGTAGTAGTAGTAACACAGTAGTAGTAGTCGTAACGTAGTAGTAGTAACACAGTAGTAGTAGTAACACAGTAGTAGTAGTAACACAGTAGTAACAAAGTAGTAGTAGTAACACAGCAGTAGTAGTAACACAGTAGTAGTAGTAACACAGTAGTAGTAGTAACAGCAGTAGTAGTAGTAACACAGTAGTAGTAACACAGTAGTAGTAACACAGTAGTAGTAGTAACACAGCAGTAGTAGTAACACAGTAGTAGTAGTAACAATAGTAGTAGTAACACAGTAGTAGTAGTAACACAGTAGTAGTGACACAGCAGTAGTAGTAGTAACACAGCAGTAGTAGTAGTAACATAGCAGTAGTAGTAACACAGCAGTAGTAGTAACAGTAGTAGTAGTAACACAGTAGTAGTAGTAACACAGTAGTAGTAGTAACACAGTAGTAGTAGTAACACAGCAGTAGTAGTAACACAGTAGTAGTAGTAGTAACACAGCAGTAGTAGTAGTAACACAGCAGTAGTAGTAGTAACACAGTAGTAGTAGTAACACAGCAGTAGTAGTAGTAACACAGCAGTAGTAGTAACACAGTAGTAGTAGTAGTAACAGTAGTAGTAGTAGTAACAGTAGTAGTAACACAGTAGTAGTAGTAACACAGTAGTAGTAGTAACACAGCAGTAGTAGTAACACAGCAGTAGTAGTAACACAGCAGTAGTAGTAACACAGCAGTAGTAGTAACACAGTAGTAGTAGTAACACAGTAGTAGTAGTAACACAGTAGTAGTAACACAGCAGTAGTAGTAACACAGCAGTAGTAGTGTAGAGGTGTAATTGTGCATGGCCACGGAGGTAGAGGTGTAATTGTGCATGGCCACGGATGGCTAACAAACACAATGGGCGGGGTTAGGGCCGTACACAGGGGAGGTGCTCGCACCGACGTCCGCACCTGCATCCCCCACGGGCCCCTCCCGGGGGCCGAGTCCTATAAAGGGTGGTGAGCCGGAGGGCTCGAGGTCGAGATCAGCTTTAACCAGCGAAGACGGAAGACCAGCTAGAATAGGCCCCAGAGCTCCCCTGGCTCGCTGTCCTTGTAAGGGCCGGCCAGGGCAAGCCGGTGGCGTGGCCCCGAGAGCCCAGACTGACGAGCCGGTCTGGAGACTCAGGGTGCCGGGATCCCAGCTTGACCAGGGCTGGGATAGGTAGCCTCCCCTAGCTCCGTAGTAGAGGACTTGGGCGTAGGTTAGCGGGGTTAGATGTTGTGTATCCCTGTAGACAAGTGAAGGGGACGATACCCCCTTAAGTACTGCGTGTACCCGTTACTGTGCACAAGTTGGTGTAATAAATAAGTGTGCCTCCGACCCTGTCGTCAAGCCTCCTAAATACTTACTACATCTGGTGTCAGAAGTAAAACGTTCAACGATGGACACACGAGGGACGACACGTACCAGGGAGTCGGAGATAGAAGACGCCACGGCCGAATCACCACCAGAGATGGCCGGGGTCGGATCGGAGCAGCCGGGGCCGAGTACGCCCGCGCTGCTACGACAGGAAGGGGGGGATGCGTCGGCCGAGGGACTCCGGCTGGCTCACTCCCGCCTGGCGGAACTGCTCTACGCCGCGGCCGCCGCGTTGGAGGAGATCACGCGGCTGGGGGCTGGAGGGGCTGCGCGGGACGACGACAGCAGCCGACGCGCGGCGACGTTTCCCGCCACCCCGACGCGGCTCGCGGTTAAATTTCCCGCCATCACTACAGTGCGAGCAGAGGGCGGGGCCGGCCCGCGTCAGGTGACTGCTGAGGGCCAAGCACAAGCCGTGACATCATCAACACCGGCCAGCGCGTCAACAACGGAGCGACCGGCGATGCCATGCTCGCAGCCCGCCCACACTGTAACATCTGCTGGGGACGACGGAGCGCGATCCGCAGCCACGGACGTCGCGTTACAGCAGCGTCTGCCGCCTCTCAAAGAATTCGTGGGCGCGGACGGAGACTGGGGCGGCTTCAGGAGACGGTTCATCGCTCATCAGGAGATGGCGAACTGGACGGACGCCGAAGCACTACGCGCGCTGCCGGCGATGCTGGACAACGACGCCCTGGCTACTCTCACCTCGGCGCCTAAGGAAAAGCGCGCCACGCTGCACTTGGCGTTGCAGCTGCTGTCAGCTGTCTATGGTCCGCCTTCGGACTGCAGGCAGCTATTCCACGATCGCCATCGGGGCGCCAACGAATCGCCCCTGGCCTTCCGGACGGCTCTCCTGGCCATGGCAAAGGCAGCTTTCCCGCGGATGGACGAGGAGGGAGTGGACGCCATGGTGGCTGAAAAGCTGCTACTACTCGCTGATGAGCTGAACGTCACCGTCTTGGCTCAAGACGGCGCAGAGATGTCGTCCTTGCTGGTCGCGCGCCACATCCACGGGGGCTTGCGGTCCCTGCGTCGCAAGGCCGCCAAGGGGGTGACCAGCCATGCCATGGCGGCCACCACCCTCCCACCGGAGGAGGTCTGCGGGGTGGAGCGGCGGGGGGAATGGAGATCGGCGGCACCACAGGCTCGGACCGGACCGAGCCGCCAGGAGCAGCCCAGGCCATCTGGGGCGCTCACACGGTGCTACAACTGTGGCCTTCAAGGCCACGTTGCGTCAGGGTGCCGGGCTCCCCGTCAGCGCGGGGCGACACCTCGCCAGGACGCCGCGCCATCCCCACCCAAGCTCCAGCAGAGAAATACGGCGAGTCGTGACACCTCACACGTTTGGCCCGTGCACACATCCGACACACACTCGCGCGCTAAAACGGACAGGGTTCAAAAATCGACGGCCGTTGCGTCGGATTGTTCTGAAATGCGGCGAGCGCTCCAACCGGGTCAGTGGTCGGCGCTCGCCCATCGTGTCGTTGCAGCGTCGGCGGGATCGTCGGTCGTGGTCGGTCACATTGATGGGGTAGAGGTGCGGATTTTAATTGACACGGGCATCGGCGACCATTATCTCTGATTTGATTTATAACATCCTTCCCGTTCAAAGTCGTCCCTTGCTCCCCGTTGACGTGCCATGCTATGCCGCTAACGGGGGCTCGCTGGGCATTATTGGGCAAATCCGCGCCAAAATTTGCATTGGAGACAGTAAATTATCCGGGCCTGTTTTGGTTTCCTCCTCACTCGCGGTTCCGTGCCTGTTGGGGACGGATTTCTTGGCCAAAATGCCCATTCGTATCTTGATTGACCAGGGGTGCATCGAGCTCCCGTCGGGCCGACGTGTTACATTTTTGTCTTTGCCCACCACGGGGCGTCGGGCATTTGCCACCGTGCAGGCGCTCGTGACAAAAACTGTGCGCGTACCCCCGGGGGCTCAGATGCTCGTCCCTCTTAGGTTGCGTCGGCCGTTTGCGGAAGGGGTTGCGGATTCGGGGGAGTCTTGTTGGGACCATCTCGGGCCGGGGTCAATGGACCCGATTTGCTAGCGGCTCAGACCATAGTGAAAGGGGATGGGGACCCCTTCATTGCAGTCCTTAATGTCGGATCGCGAACGGCCGTGGTTCCTCAAGGGACCGTGCTTGCACACGCAACGCCGGTACCCTATGAGGAACCACTCGTGGGTCAGGTAAGCACCGATCCTCCGTCGCGACCGCATTCGGACTGTGATGATGGATGGCTGGATGCGCTTTGCGCGGGATCAGTGGACCTGTCCGACTCGCAGCGTGCGCAGCTGCGAGTTCTCCTGAACGAATTTGCCGACGTTTTTAGTCAACACAAATTTGATATTGGGTGTACTAAATTGCTGCGACACCATATTGACACAGGTGACAGCGCGCCAATCCGCCAAAATTCCTTTCGGTTGAGTCCCGCCGAAAAGGATCATGTCAAATCGGCTGTTGATGACATGCTAGCCGCCGATATCATTTCCCCTTCCAACAGCCCGTGGGGCGCGCCGATCGTTTTGGTGAAAAAACACGACGGCTCACTGCGGTTTTGTGTCGACTTTCGGCGATTGAACAAAATTTCTGTGGCAGATGCGTACCCGCTTCCTCGAATGGATGAGTCGCTCGATGCCTTGGCGGGGGCGCGATTCTTTTCCACCCTCGATTTACTTTCTGGATTCTGGCAGCTTCCTCTGGATGACGAATCCAAACCTAAGACGGCTTTCCGTACACCGCAAGGCCTCTTCCAATTTAACCGCTTGCCGATGGGCTTACATTCCGCGCCAGCAACTTTTCAGGGGTTAATGGAACTGGTCTTGGCAGGCTTGCAATGGGATTCGTGTTTGATTTACTTGGACGACGTCATCGTCTTTAGCAAATCGTTCGATGAACACCTCCAGAGATTGCGTGCTGTTTTTCTCAAAATGCGGGCTGCCAATTTAAAATTTAAACCGCAGAAGTGCCATTTGCTCGGCGAATCGGTGCGGTATTTGGGTCACATTGTGGGGCGCTCGGGGATATCCACTGATCCCGCCAAAACGGAATGCGTCAGCTCCTGGCCAACTCCCACCTCGGTGGGAGAGGTCAGGAGTTTCATTGGCTTCGCGTCGTACTACCGACGGTTTGTGGCTGACTTCGCTACGATCGCGAAACCATTGCACGCCTTGACGTCCAAGGGGGTCAGGTTTCATTGGGGCCGGAGGAAGAGGCTGCTTTTCGCGCCCTCCGGAATGCCCTGGTGGGGGCTCCACCGTTAAATTACCCCGATTTCTCACAACCCTTCTTGCTCGATACAGACGCAAGTAACACGGGCATTGGGGGCGTGCTGTCCCAGCTCATCGGGGCGTAGAGCATGTGGTGGCTTACGGTAGTCGAGTACTGTCTCCGGCGGAACAACGGTACTGCGTTACCCGTCGGGAATTATTGGCAATTGTTTATTTCATTCAGCAGTACCGCCCGTATCTGTACGGTCGGCGTTTCACCGTCCGTACAGATCATGCCGCTCTACAGTACGCCCTGCGGGTTCAACAACCATCGGGGCAGTTGTCCCGATGGTTGGAGATTCTCCAGGACTACGACTTTGTCACCACATATCGTAAGGGCGTCCGCCACACGAACGCTGACGCCCTGTCACGGTTGCCACCCACTTCGGAGTGTGCCTGCCTCTTGGGTTCGGGGCGTTGTAGGCCCCCGAACGTGGCCACCGATTCGGTCTTCGTGGCCGCCGCCGATGCGCCTTCGGCTTCGGGTCCTATCGAGCAAGAAGGGAGGGATTCGTTGCTGGGGTTGTCGGTTGCGGAATGGGGACGCCTGCAAATGGAGGACACCTCCCTCCTCGCTCTGCGCCGTCGCACCGGGGGGGTTGGTCAGGGGGTGGCGAACGTTGACTCGTGGGGGTTGTTCCAGGGGCTTTTAATGCACTGGGACGGAAAATCCCGCCGCCAACGGCTTGTAGTGCCTGCAGCATTGAGGGGTAAGGTGGTATGGGCTGCGCATGAGCGGCTCCTGCACTTGGGGGTTCACAACACCTTTGCCATGCTCCAGCTCGATTTCTTCTGGCCGGGCATGGCAAAGGACGTGGGGGATCTCTTGGTCATGCACGCAATGCGCGCAGCGGAAGCCACCAGCGAGGGGGTCCAACCCTCCGCTGCAGTCCCATAAAGGTTTCCCGGGTTAACGAGCTCGTTGCTCTGGATATTCTCGGCCCATTTCCCGCTACACCCAGGGGAAATAGGTATTTATTGACGGGGGTCGAATACTTCACGAGATGGCCTATGGCCTGGCCCCTGGCCAACCAGTCGGCTGCAGCCATCGCGGAGGCCTTTGTCCAGGGCTATGTCCTCGACAAGGGTGCTCCGGAACGGCTGCTGACTGACCAGGTAAGAATTTTTCGGGGAAACTCCTCCGCGAGGTGTGCGATCTCTTGGGTACAGAGAAAATTCGGACCTCCCCGTATCACCCGCAAACTGACGGGATGGTGGAACGGCTGCATCGGACTGTCACGTCCATGCTGTCCCAGCAGGTATCGGAATCCCAGACAGATTGGGACCTTCGCATTCCCGGTGTGTTACAAGCCTACAGGATGGCTCCCCACGCGGCCACCGGATTTTCCCCTTTCTTTTTAATGTATGGCCGCGAGGCTAACCCCCCTGTGACGACCCAGCTGAAGCTCTCGGCGCCTCAGGCGAAGTCTACCTTGTCCGAACACGTTAAATTTAACATCAGCAAATTATCTGAGGCGCGGGAAGCGGCCGTGCAAAATTCTGAACTCCGCCAGAAGGCGAACGAGAGGCTTCGGCTGGGGCGGGTACATGTGTTCAAATGGAAACCAGGGGACAGGGCATGGTTGCACTGTCCCCAGGTGCCGCTGGCAACCTCGTCAAAGTTGGTACGGCCGTGGCGGGGGCCAGTGGAGGTCGTACAGGTCTTGCGGCCGCAATGTGTTCGCGTCAAATGGGGGAGGCGTCGGTGGTACGTGCACCCCTCAAGGTTGAAACAGTTCATTGCGCCGCCCCGTGGTTCACACACACACACGCATGGCCAAACGTGTGAGGGGTCCGCCGACTCCCCGACGTCGCTGCTCTCGCCTAACCTCACATCAACTGTTCCATCTCCAGGTGCAACAGGAGTGACGGGTCCACGCCCGCCAACCCCTCCCGGAGGGGTCGGGGGTCACTCGCCAGCGACGCCAGACTCTCTTGCACCTGGACCATCAACAACCGCTACTGAGCGTGCCAGGGCGGGCCCTTGTGACGGGCCCGCCGTGAGAACGCGCGCCAAAATGCGCAGACTATTGTGAGGTCGGCCGTTGGGGGGCCCTTGCGGACAGTGGGGGGGAGGCGTCCGGAGTGCGTGTATATATGTTGGTTTTGGGGAATGGGGTATTTATTCGGGGGGGTGCGTCGGGTTATTTTTTTTCTCTTCCTGTTGTTGTTCTTGTTATGGTTCTCATTGTTCTTGTTAAAATTACGCGAGGCACACACACGCTTTTCGGGAGGGATGCACCTTTATTCTGATATTTTTTTTGCAGCCAGGGACGGCTGCGAGCTGTACAGGGGGGGGGGGGTGATGTAGAGGTGTAATTGTGCATGGCCACGGAGGTAGAGGTGTAATTGTGCATGGCCACGGATGGCTAACAAACACAATGGGCGGGGTTAGGGCCATACACAGGGGAGGTGCTCGCACCGACGTCCGCACCTGCATCCCCCACGGGCCCCTCCCGGGGGCCGAGTCCTATAAAGGGTGGTGAGCCGGAGGGCTCAAGGTCGAGATCAGCTTTAACCAGTGAAGACGGAAGACCAGCTAGAATAGGCCCCAGAGCTCCCCTGGCTCGCTGTCCTTTTAAGGGCCGACCAGGGCAAGCCGGTGGCGTGGCCCCGAGAGCCCAGACTGACGAGCCGGTCTGGAGACTCAGGGTGCCGGGATCCCAGCTTGACCAGGGCTGGGATAGGTAGCCTCCCCTAGCTCCGTAGTGGAGGACTTGGGCGTAGGTTAGCGGGGTTAGATGTTGTGTATCCCTGTAGACAAGTGAAGGGGACGATACCCCCTTAAGTACTGCGTGTACCCGTTACTGTGCACAAGTTGGTGTAATAAATAAGTGTGCCTCCGACCCTGTCGTCAAGCCTCCTAAATACTTACTACAGTAGTAACACGGTAGTAGTAGTAACACAGCAGTAGTAGTAACACAGTAGTAGTAGTAACACAGTAGTAGTAGTAACACAGTAGTAGTAGTAACACAGCAGTAGTAACACGGTAGTAGTAGTAGTGACACAACGACCACCACAACGCTTGTGCCAGGCTAGGTGCACGAGGAGGAGGTCACATGACAGACCCCTCAGGTGCCATGGGTTACATTTCTGTGCCAGGCGAGATGCTGATTCACCACATGTGCCCCCTACTGTGCCAACTCACTTCGATTTATCTACCCAGTGCTCCACCTCATCCACCTCCTCACCACCACCTCCCCCTCTCTTCCCCCCCCCCCCTCTCTCCCCACAGCCGCCGCTCTCTCCCCACTGCACGAGACCCAACAACAGCAGCAGCAGCGACACAAACAGCACAAACAGCACAAACAACAACAACAACAACAGCAGCAGGCAGAGATCCCCCTGCCTGCCGGTCGCCGTGGCTACGGGAGGGACGCCCTGCCTCTACCTCCCTCTCCTCCCTCCGCCTCTCCCTCCCCCTCCTTCTCCCTGCTCCCCCTGGCCGCCTCCACCTCTGGCCCCCCTCCTCCCCCTCCTCCTCCTCCTCCACCTCCTCCCCCACCTCCTGCTCAAGCAGCGCCCACTCTGCTGCCCACCTCGTCACGGATCGGACAACCCGTGGCTCCAACTCGCTACGCAGGTACGGGATGGAATCACGGAGGGTTCGTGTGGCTGGGTTCACGGTGGTCGTGTGGCTGGGGTCACTGTGGCCGTGTGGCCGTGTTCACGGTGGCCGTGTGGCTGGTATCACGGTGGCCGTGTGGCTGGGTTCCAGATGGCCGTCTGGCCGGGTTCAAGATGGTCGTGTGGCCGGGGTCACGGTGGTCGTGTGGCCGGGGTCACGGTGGTCGTGTGGCCGGGGTCACTGTGGTCGTGTGGCCGGGTTCACGGTGGCCGTGTCTCTGAGTTCATGGTGGTCGTGTGGCCGTGTTCACGGTGGCCGTGTGGCCGGGTTCAAGATGGCTGTGTGGCCGGGTTCACGGTGGCCGTGTGGCCGGGTTCAAGATGGTCGTGTGGCCGGGGTCACGGTGGTCGTGTGGCCGGGGTCACGGTGGTCGTGTGGCTGGGTTCACGGTGGCTGTGTGGCTGGGTTCACGGTGGTCGTGTGGCCGGGGTCACGGTGGTCGTGTGGCCGTGTTCACGGTGGCCATGTGGCCGGGTTCAAGATGGTCGTGTGGCCGGGGTCACGGTGGTCGTGTGGCCGGGTTCACGGTGGCCGTGTCTCTGGGTTCACGGTGGCCGTGTGGCCGTGTTCACGGTGGCCGTGTTCACGGTGGCCGTGTGGCCGGGTTCACGATGGCCATGTGGCCGTGTTCACGGTGGTCGTGTGGCCGTGTTCACGGTGGTCGTGTGGCCGTGTTCACGGTGGTCGTGTGGCCGTGTTCACGGTGGTCGTGTGGCCGTGTTCACGGTGGTCGTGTGGCCGGGTTCAAGGTGGTCGTGTGGCCGGGTTCACGGTGGCCGTGTTCACGGTGGCCGTGTGGCCGTGTTCACGGTGGTCGTGTGGCCGGGTTCAAGGTGGTCGTGTGGCCGGGTTCAAGGTGGTCGTGTGGCCGGGGTCACGGTGGCCGTGTCTCTGGGATCATGGTGGTCGTGTGGCCGTGTTCACGGTGGCCGTGTCTCTGGGTTCACGGTGGCCGTGTCTCTGGGTTCATGGTGGTCGTGTGGCCGTGTTCACGGTGGCCGTGTGGCCGGGTTCACGGTGGCCGTGTGGCCGTGTTCACGGTGGCCGTGTGGCCGGGTTCACGGTGGTCGTGTGGCCGGGTTCAAGGTGGACGTGTGGCCGGGTTCAAGGTGGACGTGTGGCCGGGTTCAAGGTGGTCGTGTGGCCGGGTTCACGGTGGCCGTGTGGCCGTGTTCATGGTGGCCATGTGGCCGTGTTCACGGTGGCCGTGTGGCCGGGTTCAAGGTGGTCGTGTGGCCGTGTTCACGGTGGTCGTGTGGCCGGGGTCACGGTGGTCATGTGGCCGGGGTCACGGTGGTTGTGTGGCCGGGGTCACGGTGGTCGTGTGGCCGTGTTCACGGTGGTCGTGTGGCCGGGGTCACGGTGGCTGTGTGGCCGGGTTCAAGATGGCCGTGTGGCCGGGGTCACGGTGGTCGTGTGGCCGGGTTCATGGTGGCCGTGTGGCCGGATTCAGACTCTGCCTTCTCGACAGATCTGTTCTCCACCTGAAGACGGCTGCTTGCGTTGTGGCCGAAACGTCGTGAGAATTATTTTATAATGTTTTCTTTTTATTATTTTATTATTTTCCTTCTACGTGACTTTACCGAAAGAACCAAGAAGAGGGTTCAAGGTGGTCGTGTGGCCGGGTTCACGGTGGCTGTGTGGCCGGGGTCACGGTGGTCGTGTGGCCGGGGTCACGGTGGTCGTGTGGCCGGGGTCACGGTGGTCGTGTGGTCGGGGTCACGGTGGTCGTGTGGCCGGGGTCACGGTGGTCGTGTGGCCGGGTTCACGGTGGCCGTGTGGCCGGGTTCACGGTGGCCGTGTGGCCGGGGTCACGGTGGTCGTGTGGCCGGGTTCACGGTGCACGTGTGGCCGGGTTCACGGTGGCCGTGTGGCCGGGTTCACGGTGGCCGTGTGGCCGGGTTCACGGTAGCCGTGTGGCTGGGTTCACGGTGGCTGTGTCATTCTTTCTCTGTGTAGGGAGCCAGAAGTCATCGAAATACAACCCTGGCCACAGGACCATTCCAGATAAATCCAGCTACACACATGGTGAGTCTGTGGGTCTCTGTGTGGTGAGTCTATGGGTGTCAGTGTGGTGAGTCTATATGTCTCTGTGGTGAGTCGGTGGGTCTGATGAGGGGGTGGGTGGGTGAGTCCAGGCCTCGTGGAGGAGGAGGAGGTGGATGACCAGGAGGAGGAGGAGTACCTGGAGATCCTCACCAACGAGATTCTGGTCAAGGCTCCCCCTCTGGGCTCCAAGGGGACTCAACAGGACTCGGCTGTCTACCAACTCCCGCAGAAGATGGTGAGGTCATCGTCGTCGTTGGCATCATCCTCCGATAATATCGGCATCGGCTGATAGCGGCAGCTGTTATGAGACAGGGAACCGGTTCCCATATGAATTCTATGGGCCATGTTAAGAGATAGTGAATCTGAGAATCCAACTCCCCCTCCCCCGTAGATGCGTGGTGGGCGTCAGCACGGTGGCGAGGGCGGCGGTGAGGATGACGACGACGATGGTGAGGAGGATGAGGGGGAGGGGCTGGTGAACCGCGGGGCCCTGGTGGGACTCCTGGCCGGGGCTTCGATCGTCGCGGCCGCCATCGTCCTGTCGCTGGCCGTGCTGCGGCGCAAGCAGCAGCAGCAACAGCACGCCAGCATCAGCCACGGCGTCGTAGAGGTGAGTGGGTGAGTGTGTGGGTGGGTGAATGGGTGGGTGGGTGTGGGTGAGTGGGTGAGTGTGGGTGGGTGTGTGGGTGGGTGTGTGGGTTGGTGGGTGGGTGAGTAACTGGGTGGGTAGATGAGTGGGTGGATGAGTGTGAGTGGAGTGAGTGGATGGATGAGTGAATGGGTGGGTGGGTGTGTTGATGGGTGGGTGGGTGTGTTGATGGGTGGGTGTGTTGGTGGGTGGGTGTGTTGATGGGTGGGTGGCTGTGTTGATGGGTGTGTGGGTGTGTGGGTGGGTGAGCAGCACACCAGAATCAGCCACGGTGTTATGGAGCAGCAGATGGTGAGGAAGTGTTGAGGAGGAGGTGGTGAGGAAGAGCACTGGGCAGCTAAAACAAAGCCAGTTTGCATAGGGGGCACATGTGGTGAATCTGCACCTAGCCTGGCACAGCAATGCAGCCCATGGCACCTGCTGGGTCTGTCCCATGACCTCCTCGTGCACCTAGCCTGGCACAGCCATGCAACTCATGGCACCTGCTGGGTCTGCCCCGTGACCTCCTGGTGCACCTAGCCTGGCACAGCAGTGCAACCCATGGCACCTCTTGGGTCTGTCCTGTGACCTCCTCCTGGTGCACCTAGCCTGGCACAGCAGTGCAACTCATGGCACCTGCTAGGTCTGTCCCATGACCTCCTGGTGCACCTAGCTTGGCACGGGCGCCGTGGCGACGTCATTGTCACTTAGTGGCGAATAGCGGCAGTTGTTAATGGGGAGTGGCGGGGCAGCGGTTAGCACCGTGGTGCCTTAATAAATTAATTGTTACACTGCTGCTCGTTAACAGCACTTGCCCCAGTGGCCTGGGGCAACTTTGTTTGAGGGGTTGTGATGATGATGGTGGTTGTGTTGGTGACGGTGGTGGTGGCGATGGTGACTGTGGTGATGTTGGTGGTGATGATAGTGGTGGTGACGGTGGTGACTAATGATGGTGATGATGGTCATGGTGGTGATGGTGATGGTGGTGATGATGTTGATGATGATGTTGGTAGTGGTGGTAGTGGTGGTGACGGTGATGATTATGGTGATGATGACTATGGTGATGATGATTAGGGTGATGATGATTATGGTGATGATGGTGACGATGGTGGGGATGGTATTGACGGTGGTGATGATGGTCATGGTGGTGATGGTGGTGATGCTGCAGGTTGATGCTGCTCTAAGCCCAGAAGAGCGCCATCTGAACAAGATGCAGCAGAATGGATACGAGAATCCAACGTACAAGTACTTCGAGCAGATGCACATCTAGTGCTGAGGTTACACTACAGTATACCCTACACTACTATACACTACACTACCAAACACTACGCTACTCTACACTACACTAAACAACTACCCTACGATACACTATGCTACGATACACTCCTCTACCGTACAGTACTATGCACAACTATACACTACACTATTATACACTACACTATATGCTGCACTACACTACTATACATGACTATACACTACTATACACTGCACCATACACTAAACTATACACTACCACTACACTAGACACTACTATACACTACACTAAACTATACACAACACTAAACTATACACGACACTATACAGCACTACTTTACACTACACTATACACTACTACGCACTACACTACCACACACTACTCTACTATACACTACACTACTATACACTACACTAATATACACTACACTACTATACACCACACTACAATATACACTACACTACAATATACACTACACACCACACTAAACACTACACACAATATTCACTCCATACTACACTGCGCTAGACATTCCCCACTATAGATACGCCCCCCGCACACCCCACTCTATATAAATATAAACTCTGTCCACATCGCCCTCTCTCTCGCTGGGTGTCACATCCACGGTTTTAGTGGTCCACGGTGAGAGCCTCCACACAGTGGTGAGGTGGTGAGTCTACACACAGTGGTGAGAGTCGAAACAATGGTGTCTGCACACTAATCTCTCCTGGCTAGATGAATAGTGAATCTCAGTGGGGTGGCTCTCCCCTGGCTAGATGAATAGTGAATCTCAGTGGGGTCTCTCTCTCCTGGCTAGATGAATAGTGAATCTCAGTGGGATGGCTCTCCCCTGGCTAGATGAATAGTGAATCTCAGTGGGGTCACTCTCCCCTGGCTAGATGAATAGTGAATCTCAGTGGGGTCTCTCTCTCCTGGCTAGATGAATAGTGAATCTCAGTGGGTGGCTCTCCCCTGGCTAGATGAATAGTGAATCTCAGTGGGGTGGCTCTCTCCTGGCTAGATGAATAGTGAATCTCAGTGGGGTGGCTCTCTCCTGGCTAGATGAATAGTGAATCTCAGTGGGGTCTCTTTCCCCTGGCTAGATGAATAGTGAATCTCAGTGGGGTCTCTCTCCCCTAGCTAGATGAATAGTGAATCTCAGTGGGGTCTCTCTCCCCTGGCTAGATGAATAGTGAATCTCAGTGGGGTCACTCTCCCCTGGCTAGATGAATAGTGAATCTCAGTGGGGTCTCTCTCTTGGCTAGATGAATAGTGAATCTCAGTGGGGTCACTCTCCCCTGGCTAGATGAATAGAGAATCTCTGTGGGGTCACTCTCCCCTGGCTAGATGAATAGTGAATCTCAGTGGGGTCTCTCTCTCCTGGCTAGATGAATAGTGAATCTCAGTGGGGTCACTCTCCCCTGGCTAGATGAATATTGAATCTCAGTGGGGTGGCTCTCCCCTGGCTAGATGAATAGTGAATCTCAGTGGGGTGGCTCTCCCCTGGCTAGATGAATAGTGAATCTCAGTGGGGTCTCTCTCCCCTGGCTAGATGAATAGTGAATCTCAGTGGGGTCACTCTCTCCTGGCTAGATGAATAGTGAATCTCAGTGGGGTCTCTCTCCCCTGGCTAGATGAATAGTGAATCTCAGTGGGGTCACTCTCCCCTGGCTAGATGAATAGTGAATCTCAGTGGGGTCTCTCTCCCCTGGCTAGATGAATAGTGAATCTCAGTGGGGTGGCTCTCCCCTGGCTAGATGAATAGTGAATCTCAGTGGGGTGGCTCTCCCCTGGCTAGATGAATAGTGAATCTCAGTGGGGTCTCTCTCCCCTGGCTAGATGAATAGTGAATCTCAGTGGGGTCACTCTCCCCTGGCTAGATGAATAGTGAATCTCAGTGGGGTCACTCTCCCCTGGCTAGATGAATAGTGAATCTCAGTGGGGTCTCTCTCTTGGCTAGATGAATAGTGAATCTCAGTGGGGTCACTCTCCCCTGGCTAGATGAATAGTGAATCTCTGTGGGGTCACTCTCCCCTGGCTAGATGAATAGTGAATCTCAGTGGGGTCTCTCTCTCCTGGCTAGATGAATAGTGAATCTCAGTGGGGTCTCTCTCCCCTGGCTAGATGAATAGTGAATCTCAGTGGGGTCACTCTCCCCTGGCTAGATGAATATTGAATCTCAGTGGGGTGGCTCTCCCCTGGCTAGATGAATAGTGAATCTCAGTGGGGTCTCTCACTCCTGGCTAGATGAATAGTGAATCTCAGTGGGGTGGCTCTCCCCTGGCTAGATGAATAGTGAATCTCAGTGGGGTCACTCTCCCTGGCTAGATGAATAGTGAATCTCAGTGGGGTCACTCACTCCTGGCTAGATGAATAGTGAATCTCAGTGGGGTCTCTCACTCCTGGCTAGATGAATAGTGAATCTCAGTGGGGTGGCTCTCCCCTGGCTAGATGAATAGTGAATCTCAGTGGGGTCACTCTCCCCTGGCTAGATGAATAGTGAATCTCAGTGGGGTGGCTCTCCCCTGGCTAGATGAATAGTGAATTAATAGTTAATGACACTGCTTTATTTATTTGCGTTGTTCACTGCTCTGTCGGTGTCACTAACTGCCCTGCGCACTCTAGCCGTCCGTGTGGTTTTTTATATATAAACAAATGAGGCGAGAAAAAGAATGATACGCACACGCGTGTTCACGGGCACACGCGTGTTCACGGGCACACGTACACATACACCCGCACACGCGTACGAGTGTGTGTGTACATGTGGTGTACGTGTGTGTGTACCTATGCTATCACCTGTGTATACGTGCTGTTAACTTGTAACCATGATGTTAGACGTTGTCGTTAGGTGATGGTCATGATGATGATGATGATTGCGCTGATCGTAATGGTGATTTTGATGATGATTATGGTTATGACGGGAAGAGATTGCATCCTGAGAGTGGTCAGATGGTCTCTAGAGCCCGCGTCTGTAGACCATGACTCTCTAGACTGCGAGTCTCTAGACCATGACTTTCTCGACCCCGGGTCTTTTAGACCAGGGGTGGGGAACCTTTTTTTCTGCCAAGGGCCATTTGGATATTTATAACATCATAGAAAATTATCAACTTAAAAATTTGCCTGTTATGTTTGGTCAAATATTTAATTAACTCGCCCCTAATGTGATGGCTGGAACTGCTTCTCTTTGGCGAGGCGTGTGATGTTAGCTGGTATTGATGATGTTACTACTCGCAACTGCTTTTCCAGGTTTGCTCCGAGATTTATTGAATTTTGAGTCCCGCCTGTGGTTGCCTTGGCAGGGTCAGATTAAATGATTTTGCGGGCCTCATACGGCCCGCGGGCCGGACGTTCCCCACCCCTGCTCTAGACCATGACTCGACCCCTGGGTCTGTAGACCCCCGGGTGCGTGGTGTGTGCTGGGTGTGTGTGTGTATTGAGTTTAGTACTCGAGTGAGTATTCTGCATATACTGCATGTAATTAGCGCTACTGGTTGGTAAAAGAGGTTGCGAGATTAGGATTGGAGGTAGAGGAGGAATTGGAGGATGAGGTGGAGGAATAATAGGAGGTGGAGGAATAGGAGGAGGTGGTGGAGGAATAGGAGGTTCGAGTAGAGTCTTCGTCGTTGAAACCTCACCGAGTCCCCTTCACAACCACGACACCTAAGGGGGGGGGGGGAGGAGGGGGGGATGGCGGGTCTGTATGGGATGATGAAGTAGAGGGATCTGTAGGTGATGAGGTAGATGGGGTGGTGAGGTAGTTGTGAGGTCGAAGGGGTGGTGAGGTAGTGGTGAGTTAGAGAGTGGTAAGATAGTGGAGAGGTAGACGGGGTGGTGAGGTAGATGGAGTGGTGAGGTAGATGGAGTGGTGAGGTAGATGGAGTGGTGAGGTAGTGATGAGGTAGACGGAGTGGTGAGTTAGAGAGTGGTAAGATAGTGGTGAGTTAGATGGGGTGGTGAGGTAGACGGAGTGGTGAGGTAGTGGTGAGGTAGAGAGTGGTAAGATAGTGGTGAGGTAGTGATGAGGTAGACGGAGTGGTGAGGTAGAGAGTGGTAAGATAGTGGTGAGGTAGACGGGGTGGTGAGGTAGACGGGGTGGTGAGGTAGACGGGGTAGTGAGGTAGACGGAGTGGTGAGGTAGACGGAGTGGTGAGGTAGACGGGGTGGTGAGGTAGACGGGGTGGTGATGTAGACGGAGTGGTGAGGTAGACGGAGTGGTGAGGTAGACGGAGTGGTGAGGTAGAGAGTGATGAGGTAGTGGTGAGGTAGAGAGTGGTAAGATAGTGGTGAGGTAGACGGAGTGGTGAGGTAGACGGGGTGGTGAGGTAGACGGAGTGGTGAGGTAGAGAGTGGTAAGATAGTGGTGAGGTAGACGGGGTGGTGAGGTAGACGGAGTGGTGAGGTAGACGGAGTGGTGAGGTAGAGAGTGGTAAGATAGTGGTGAGGTAGACGGAGTGGTGAGGTAGACGGAGTGGTGAGGTAGACGGAGTGGTGAGATTTAACGATGATTCTGTGCAGCCCCCGCTAGTCCCCTCGCTAGGTTTTAGATGGAACTCTGTGACCACGAGAGCTCGCTATTTAAAATAAAATTAAGACTTACAAACGTTCACGGACGTCGCGATGTGGACCAATAAAGGATCCAGACTCTGGTGGACATCTGTGGTGGTGGTGAGTCCTTCTTTACGCTTATGAAACATGGACCCCTCTGGTGGAACATTGACGCTGGTTTGAAACATTCAGGCTGGCCCTGCCTACGATCCATCTCCTGGGTGTTAACCTGACACATTCCCATCGGTAAGCTGCTCCGGCAGGCGAGGCTGCATAGGCTGGGTCATGTAGCCTGCACATGCCCAGCCACTGCATGCCCAAGCAGCTTTTGTTTGGCCCGCATAGAGGGAGATGAATGGGCATGACACAGGCTGGAGAAGAGACGTAGCTGATGCGGTACGGGAGGATGTGGAGCTGAGTGTACTTGTCGATGACCGGCGCCAACGGTGTCAAGATCGGCCTTTGGAGGAGGCTCGTGAAGGACGCTGCTGCTACTGGGTAGCTGGAGGAAGTTCCCCTGCAGCAACAACGGAGGGCAGAGGAGCGACAACAGCAAGTGGAGCACTGGGTAGCTAAAATACAGCAAGTTGGCACAGTAGGGGGGTACGTGTGATGGTGCATCTGCCAGTCATCTCAGTCAGCCAACCCATGGCACCTGCTGAGCATATCCCAAGACCTCATGTCGGCGAGCCTTCGACACTTCACGTGGCCTCAAAGTGCATCTGGTGCAGGCACCATGTTGACATCACCGTAACTTAGTGGGGAATGGCTGTTGTTGGTATTGGTGGTTGAGAGGGCAGATGGGTCGCCACCTTGCCATGGGGGAGTCCCAGAAAACAACTTCCGACCTCCCCTGTGGTTCAGGACGATAACGCTGTGGTCGATGCGAGCATTGCCATTGAACCGGCCAATTCCATTCGGCTTTTCCTCTTGTGGCGCTTGTAGCCACCGCAGCGGCCATGAGGGGTGAACAGTCTTCTACTCAGGGCAGGAGACTGCTAAACAACAGGGAGTGGCTCTTCTGAACAAAATTATGAAGGGAGCTTGGCAGTGGGTTGTGGGAAGGTGTAAGCCCCGGCTACTCTGTGGGCTTGCCTTCCCATCAACCAGAGGTGAGGAGTGGTGGTCGTGGTTACTTACACCCCCACCAAAGATGAACATCAGTGGAAGGATGCAAGCAAGGCCGATGAGTCGGATGCCTTCTTTGATCACCAGTCACAGGTGTGAGCTAAAGTGGCCCCTTGGGATACAGTCATTGTGTTGGGTGACTTTAATGCCCAAGTTGGTCATGATGCTGGCACCTGGTCTGGAGTGATTGGAAGGCATGGGCCAGATCAGCTCAATAGCAACGGTAGGGGGCTGCAAGACTTTTGTGCAGCCCATGGGCTTGTAATTACTAACACGCTGTTCCGGCATCAGCGCATTCACACAACATCATGGATGCACGCTGGGTCCAAGCAAGAACATCTGCTGGACTATATAGTGATGGAACAGCAGATGCGGGCCCATGTCCTTGGTACCAGGACCTACGGTGGAGCGGATCTGCTTGTCATCTGTAAGATGCGCCTGGCATTTTTCTACTCCGGTGGTGGGTGAATATCCAGGACCCTATTCAAACCAACAGTGGCTTGGTTTCAGCTGTCTGATGAAAGTTGCAAGCATGACTTTCATAATCGCAGCTGGGGTTGGCATTGTCCCCCAATTCTGATGTCGAGGGGAAATGGGAGAGGCTTAGGACTGTGGCTCATGCAGCTGCAATGACTGCTTTGGGTACACGGTCCAGACCTCCGCAGAGACCCTGGCTGACAGAGGAGGTGTTCAGGATGGCTGAGAAGAAGTGACAGGCCCACTCATCGGCTACAGCATCCCACATCGGAGAATGAGGCGGCTTACCGCAGCCTTCACTCGGAGGTTCGGAGAGCCGTGCGGCACTGCAAGGATGTGTGGTAGTCACGGGTTGCTGAGGAGATGGAGTCTACTTCAGTAGCCCGCGATCACAAATCACGATAACCCCATAAAAAATTACTTGCAGCGCCACACCTATCACCATTCGAGGAAAGAAAGGTGATCCGATCTCTGACTTCCACGAAGGTCTTGGGGGAGGGAGCTTATTGGAGGGGAAATCCCTCGACCTGGAAACATGGGCAAAGTGGGGATGACCCTGCTGAGGCTGTGGTGCCTCAAATACTGTAAGAAGTCACCCCCTGTGAGTGTCTGGCTGAAGTGCCAGACACTCAGGTGATCCAGAGTCTGAGACCAGGATAAGCGCCAGGCAGAGATGATCTCCCAAGCGAAATGCTGAGAGAGGGTGGCGTTTGTGCAGACTGTCCTACATGACATAACAGTCTGGACCACTGGACGGGTTCCACGTGCTTGGAAGGATGCCCTGGTGATCTTCCTCTTTGTTCAGCCGGTGGCACGGACTAGAGAAGACATGAAGTGATGTGGTACAAGAGGATGTGGAGCTGAGTGGACTTGCCGGTACCAGCAGTGTCAAGATCGGCCTCTGTGGAGGAGGCTCGTGAAGGACGCTGCTGCTCCTGAGCAGTGCCAGGCTAGGTGCACTGTGAGGCTCCTGGGCAGTTGGAGCCAGTCTCCCTCCAACAACAACGGAAGGCGGAGGAGCGACGCTTACAACAACGAGTGGATAAAGCACAGAAAGTTGGCACAGTGGGGGGTACAGGTGGTGCATCGACCAGTCATCTCAAGTCAGTCAACCCATGACACCTGCTGTGTTTGTCCCGTGACCTTCTGCTGGCGGGCGTTCGACACTTCACGTGGCCTCGACGTGCACCTAGCTTGGTACAAGTGTTGTGGTGACGTCACCGCCACTTCGTGGCAAATGGCGGATGTCCCAGATCCACAACCAACGTCTACAATTCGCCACCACTCCTCACCACCACTCCACCACGACTCCTCACCGCTCCATCACAACCAGTGTGTTCATAACGGTGAGTCAAGGTAAGTTGCCTAAGCCACACCGAACCTGGTTCAGGATTATTTACGGGTTCACTGCATAAAGCCAAACGAAGACAACCTCGCGGAGATCCCAAAGCGGCAGGAGAATCGCCCAAAGCCGTGCCGCGTGTCCAGCGCAGCCTCCCTCGCCACTGGAGACGATGATGAAATATTCACAGCGATAACCTGAACTGAATGTGAATACACTGTATGTTAAGGATTAGTGAGTGAGTGAGAGTGAGAGAGAGTGTGTCAGAGTTAGTGAGAGTGTGTGAGAGTGAGAGTGCGTGAGAGTGAGAGTGTCAGAGTGAGTGAGTGTCAGAGTGAGTGAGAGTGTGTGAGTGAGAGTGTGTCAGAGTGCATGAGAGTGAGTGAGTGTGTGTCGGAGTGAGTGAGAGTGAGTGAGTGTGTCAGTGAGTGAGAGTGAGTCAAGAGTGAGTGAGAGTGTGTGAGTGAGTCAGAGTGAGTGAGAGTGAGTGAGAGTGTGTCAGAGTGAGTGAGAGTGAGAGTGTGTCAGAGTGAGTGAGAGTGTGCCAGAGTGAGTGAGTGCGTGGAGAGTGTGTCAGAGTGCGTCAGAGTGCGTGAGAGTGAGTGAGTGAGAGTATGTGTGAGTGAGTGAGAGTGAGTGAGAGTATGTGTGAGTGAGTGAGAGTGTCAGAGTGAGTGAGTGTCAGAGTGAGTGAGTGTCAGAGTGAGTGAGAGTCAGAGTGAGTGTGTCAGAGTGAGTTAGAGTGCGTGAGAGTGAGTGAGAGTGCATTAGAGTGTGAGAGAGTGTCAGAGGGTGTCAGAGGGTGTCAGAGTGAGTGAGAGTGAGTCAAGAGTGAGTGAGAGTGTCAGAGTGAGTGAGAGTGCGTGAGAGTGTCAGAGTGAGTGAGAGTGCGTGAGAGTGTCAGAGTGAGTGAGAGTGAGTGAGTGTGTGTCAGAGTGAGTGAGTGAGAGTGTCAGTGCATGAGACTGAGTGAGTCAGAGTGAGTGAGAGTGCGTGTGAGTGAGTCAGAGTGAGTCAGAGTGTCAAAGTGCGTGAGAGTGAGAGTGTGTCAGAGTGAGTGAGAGTGTCAGAGAGAGTGAGAGTCAGTCAGAGTGAGTGTGTCAGAGTTAGTGAGAGTGCGTGAGAGTGAGTGAGAGTGTGTCAGAGTGAGAGTGTCAGAGTGAGTGAGAGTGAGTCAGAGTGAGTGAGAGTGTGTGAGTGAGAGTGTCAGAGTGAGTGAGAGTGTGTGAGTGAGAGTGTCAGAGTGAGTGAGAGTGTGAGAGTGTGTCAGAGTGAGTGAGAGTGCATCAGAGTGAGTGAGAGTGAGTGAGAGTGCGTGAGAGTGTGAGAGTGAGTGAGTGAGAGTGTGAGAGTGTGTCAGAGTGAGTGAGAGTGCATCAGAGTGAGTGAGAGTGAGTGAGTGCATCAGAGTGAGTGAGAGTGTGAGAGTGAATGAGTGAGAGTGAGTGAGAGTGTCAGAGTGAGTGAGAGTCAGTCAGAGTGAGTGTGTCAGAGTGAGTTAGATGTGCGTGAGAGTGAGTGAGAGTGAGTGAGAGAGTGAGAGCGTGAGAGTGAGTGAGAGTGTGTCAGAGTGAGTGAGAGAGTGTGTCGGAGAGTGTGTCAGAGAGTGTGTCAGAGTGAGTGAGTGTGTCAGAGTGAGTGAGTGTGTCAGAGTGAGTGAGAGTGAGTGAGAGTGCGTGTGAGTGAGAGTGCGAAGTGAGTGAGAGTGTGTCAGAGTGAGTGAGTGTGTCGGAGAGTGTCAGAGTGAGTGAGTGTGTCAGAGTGAGTGAGAGTGAGAGTGCGTGTGAGTGAGAGTGCGTGTGAGTGAGAGTGCGTGAGAGTGTCAGAGTGAGTGAGAGTGAGTGTGTGTGAGAGTGAGTGAGTGTGAGTGAGAGTGTGTCAGAGTGTATGAGACTGAGTGAGTCAGAGTGCGTGAGAGTGAGTGAGAGTGTGTCAGAGTGCGTGAGAGTGAGTGCGTGAGGGTGTCAGAGTGAGTGAGAGTGTGTCAGAGTGAGTGAGAGTGTCAGAGTGAGTGAGAGTGAGTCAAGAGTGAGTGAGAGTGAGTGAGAGTGTCAGAATGCGTGAGAGTGTGAGAGTGAGTGAGTGAGAGTGTCAGAGTGAGTGAGAGTCAGTCAGAGTGAGTGTGTCAGAGTGAGTGAGAGTGCGTGAGAGTGAGTGAG